TTCACTTCCTGCGTAGGAATTGGTTAGCCTGTGACGAGGGGTTTACACCATGAGAACACAAAGCGCTTTGGATTTCATTTAGCCTGAAGGCCAGCTGTTCTTCTGATGACATATTGCTTAGTAATTGGTTACAAAGTACTCTTTTTAGAGACGCTACTTTCAGTAACAATAATGTATTATTTTGACCTAGTGGTCTGTCTAAACATTTGAAATCAGCCCATGTTATAAGTATCTTTTACAGAAAATTATGTGTGATTTGGGAAAAAAAAACAAAAAACACACTATTCGTATTAAGCAGTAACTCTCGTCAAGTGGAATTTCTAAACTTGAGTTGGTAGTGAGCCAATTGCAACATCTGGAATGGCTCATATCATTAAGGTGTGCACCAGGAAATTCTTCCCCTATCTTATCTTTTAATGTTATGCAATGTAAATATTTATTAAATTGTTTAGTGGATATGTGTCTTGTATGTGTAGGGTGTTTGGAAGTGTTGTAGCTGTGTGGCTTTCTGTGTGTGATGTATAAAGCTGGCTGTGTGTATGGGAGTATAGCTGTGAGTGATGTGTGGGTAGCTGTGAATGGTATGTTTAGCTGTGTGAGTGATAAATTTGGTCCACTGCGAGTGATGTGTTTGATAATGAGTGATGTGTGGACAGCTGTGAGCAATGAGTATTGCTATGTGTGGGTAGCTGTGAGTGTGGATTTGTGTAAGTAGCTGTCACGGATGACTTGGGCGATAAAACAGACCTAGGCATTTTATGGCACAGTAGCCTATTTTCACATTTTACAAATACAACTTTTTTTTTCTGATTCAATAATATAAATAACAAGACCTAACTAACTCACACAAGTATACACATATAGAGACTTTTGGTACTGCGGACATAACAGTCTATACTGTTGAAAGTAAAATGAATCCCGAGGTTAATACTAAATTACGTCAGTATATCAGAAACAAGAAGTAAGTTACTCAGACTTATCAAGAAGTGTTGTCAATAGTCCAAAAAGAACATGTGTTATGAAACATGACCCTGTGACAGAATCGGGGTAAAAAGGTTACTTTTTAAGGACACACTCTAAATGCCAGGACAGATACAACCTAATGCAGGGGCTATGATGCAAAAACCTGTTAATGCTGCCTCTGCACTCTAATCTATGAGAAAAGGCAGTATTTACAATATTCCCTAAGGACACTGATAGTGATTGTTGCTCAGACAGCCAAGAGTTGCTTCCAATAACAGTCTGCAGTTTTTGCTCGTCCGACGTTTGGCCTCTTCATGCTCTGAGCTAATGAATCTCTATGAGGCAATACTGATTAGCATATAGCATGCTGCACATGGGTGTTACATGCATTGGTTAGGTCTACTGTGCTGAGATACTGGGCCCTCTCCACTAATTATTTAATTCTCAGCATAACATATGCCACAAGATTAGAAATGGAGTTCAGTTTCTAAGTAGGAACTTCCATTAGCCATGTGGCTGAGAGTGATCAGCAAACACCCTCAGCCAATAATGTAAGTCCTGTAGTTGTTATGGTGCTTGGAGAGTTACTTTAATTAATAATCCACGTTTGCTAAAGGGTGTGGGATGATTAGAGAGTAACTACTCTACTAAGAAACCCACATACCACATCCAGTATGTGTGGACGTTAAAGTGTAACTGTAATTTCAGTAAAAAAACATACACAAGTTCATTCACCAACTTACGAGTCCCTAAAATGTCCCAATTTCAGCAGGACCGTTCTGATTTCAGACTCCAGTCCTGGCAAGAATTTGACCCCAAGCAGCATAGCATGATGACAGCATCATTAGAGTTGCTCGCCCTGTGATAAGGGCTCTAGGATTATGTAGAGAGCACTTCAGCAACAACTCAGTAAGGACTGCTCTGAGTGGGGCTGACCAGGGGAATCTGTCAGTCAGCCGGTGTGCGTTCACTCCAGGCTGACACTCCAATTCTGTGTTTGGCTCATCCCCTTTCCAGATGGGCTGTTATATTTGGGCATTTCACTGAAAATGTAGGTAAAATGACTGTGATGTGACTATAGCTGATTAGAATTTTGACCAATCAGATCTGTTTGCCTGTATCTTGCCATTTGGATTTCAATTTTCTGAAAGTCAGTGTTTAGTAAAAAAAAAAAATCCTTATACCGTGTAGAACACAATAAAATCAGAACTTAAAATCACGGTATAACTGCATTCAGCATCGATTGGGAAGTACAAATGGGAAGCGTGTCTCGGTCTCCTGTGTTTTATGTCTGTGTGGTAGAAACTTGGCCGGCTAATTGAGAACTACAGCCAAAAAACAAAACAAAACAACTTTTTCAGACACACCGCATTTCACAAAGTTATAAATAGGCTGAAAAAAAAAATTGGGTCCATCAAGTTCGACCTTTCTATCTTAGTAAAAAGATATCTCTGCACAGTGACTATGTGATTTTAATTGAATCACTGTGAGAATGGTTCAGTATACAGAGTAGTCCACTTCATAATCAGCTAGTCTGACAAGCTTCAGACTTCCTTTACTTATGGTTAAAAAAACATCCTGGGATTTTCCATTTACAGATACGTAGGCGTTCATTATTTAGGTTTACTGAAGTTCCTATATACTTATTTTTTTTGTGTATGTGAGAGTATGGGTTAGCTTGTTCTGTTTTTGAATAAAAGAATGATTATCTCTGTATACACCGAGTTATCACTAAAGCAAAAATGTGTATTCTTTACCTTATCGTTTAGTATTTTTCAAGTAAAGTTTACTTGACAAGTTTCCCTCATCCTACTCATTTCACTGTACACACCTACATACTCATGTCTGGCTTAGTCAAATAAAACCTTTTTCGCAAATATGCTTTAACTAGTTGAGAGGGTATTTTACGTCCCACATGTTTCTGTTATAATAGTAAAAAAAAAAAAAATGTCTGTGAGGTCAATTTATATCACCGTTCTCAGCAATACATAGATATTGGAAGTGGTACTATCAGATTAACAAAATCCCATATTGCATACTGCGGTTACACACCTACGTTTTATTCCACAGTTCTTATTAAGATTCACTTTTACATTACTCATATTTGGATACAGATGTGAGCTTATGTGTATAACTGGCGTACTGTGAGATTAAGATCAGAGGCAAATTAAGAGAAATTTTTTTGTGTAAAAACAAATATACTGAGAGAAACTCAGGTGCGTAATTATTGTAAGTCTTTTTCTTTTTATATTTTTGTGTGGTCGTCCCCCACCCCATTTGGCAGGTGCAGGTTTTTCCTTTTTTTGTATTTTTGTATCATTGTATTTTTTTATTCTCTATCCTCTAACTCCCCTGAGGGAGATAGAATCTGCATTAATTGACATGTGCTTGAAGATTTTAGATATTCTTATTCTGGCTATTATTATGATTTGTTGTTAACCATTTTTCTACAATAAAGTATGCACTTTCCATGATCTACCTGGTAGATTACTCTGAGATCTTTAGGAACGTGGACTGTTGGCTGGTAATGAAAATAGGAAAGTCATACTGCCATGTCATCACTGGTTCCTGGGGATTACCACAATTCCGAGATGGGTGGAATAAGCTGTGGGACAAATCATGTCTTCCTTCTTAGAACCACTAAGCGAAACCACCACCCATAGTGTGAGTAAACAGGAGTAGGCCACATGCTTCCTACCCCAGTTAACAAGGGATCACAGAAACCCTTTATTAGATGGTGGATGACTGATGTTGTTTGGGTATCTAATATCTGCTTTTTTATCTCTTGTGAACTATTGATTTTGATTCCCTCCTCCAACCTCCTTCATTTAGGTCCCTTATATTGTACTTTCTGAGGTTTGAGTGAAAACTTTCTTTTTGGAAAGAAAAGCAGATGGCAAGCTCACAGCACCAGGGAAAATGAGAATCGAGGACAGTTGTCTGCCCATACCGAAGAACATAATGAACGAACATAAGTAGAGAATAAAAGTTTTTTAAAAAGTGTTATATTGGCCATGTTGAAGGAAACAAAAATGGGAGGTGCAAAGACCATTTACACAAAGCCATGAAGCCAATAACATGTGCAGCTTCAAAGAAAACACCCAAAGAGACATGGGTGTATCACAAAGGAAACAGATGTTGATAGAAACCTGAATATTAAGGCCACCACCTATCCCTCCAAATTGCACTCTTCAAGGAAGAATTGGAGTCAAAGAAGAGTGCAATTTGGAGGGACGGGTGTTGGGTATATAGGAGAAGACCATGTAGAGGAAGCCATACACATCAGTGGATATTGTATTTTGGAAAATGTCAGCATCATATGATGCCTCACCATGTCAAAATGTATCTTTATGCTCGTGAAAGGGCTAAGATTTATTGAGGAATGGTAAGAACTAAGGCATCACACCACAGCAGAAAGAGTTACAACCAAAACTTTTGAGGTGAGTTTGGCAATGCTAATGACATATTCCTCAGAAGTCTGAAGTGGACGAATTTATCACAGTCTCTTTAACTCACCTATTATAAAACATGCTCCATATGGCCCTAGTATACACAGTCCCCACCTTTTCGTCTTGTGTCACATGGAAAACCCTTGATCCATGCTTAATAACCCGACTCCCTAGTAGTGATGATTAGTGACATTATGTGATGGAAGCACATGCTTCACCCCGAATATGATTTTAATCCGTATTTCTGTAAACTCCACCACAAGAACTGTTGAACTCCAATAATTTAACGTCATGTGCTCCACCTCAGACCCAGTGAAACATTTTGCCTTGTAAAAATGGGTGTTTTAAAAAAAATGCCCCAAGATCTTGACATGCTAACCTGCTCTCAACAGCTTCTCCAGACAGAAATAAATCAAGTGGAGATGGAAACTGCAGAACTGCTATTACAAATGAGAAATATACAACAAATTATATCAAAGGTGCAAGTTTAATTTTTATGTAAAGTTTGATGCCTGCTCCTCCTAGCCCCCCCCCACGGAAAAATATTGGTAGATCTTATCACTTTTCTTAAAGCTGTTATTTTATTTACGATTGAATGTGTCTCTATGGAAGATCTTCCTTTACTACCTGGTAGGAAGAGTTCTACAGTTAAATTTAGTCAAGTGATATTACACAGTTTTACATCAAATCGATTTACTGAATGTTAAATGTTTTAGTGATACATTTCTAATTCTTAAAGAATAAAATAGAGCTGACTACAAATGCAGTAAAAAGAAAGACATGAATGTTTTATTGAAGAAATACACTAATCAAAAAAAGGAATGTTTCATATGTTAAAGCATTAATCATGTATGAGTTTTAAATACAACACATATGAATAAATACTAAATATACCAAAAAGTGCCTGAACAGGTGGTCCGCCATAAAAAGCCAACTTATCAGTGGTCACCAGATGTGATCAATGTTCAGCAACTTACACACATACTGGTAAACATAGCAATAAATAAACAAACAAGGAATGCAATCAGAGATACTAACATCAATGAGCTTATAGTCACAAAATCATAAAAATAGATAATACTAGTTAGAAAACTATACAAGACCTATTTGTGCGGATAGAAAATACCTAGTAGGTAGTCTTCTAAAAGAAAGATTTGTTTTATTTTTCCCTAAAGAGATGAGGCATTATAATCTGATAGATGCAAACATTAAAAAATGTTCAACCATTCTATATGCAGAGCAACTAACACATAACAGGATATAAATCCAGGTTTAAGCAAATGTTTCAATATGCCATGGATCTTGTCAAAACTTTGTTAAATACTATGTACATTTAGGACAATTATTCAGAAAAAGCTGAGTCCAGAGGAAAGTGCATAGAATGCTACTGGATTCCTTGAAGTACATAACTGCCAAAATACTTGCCTCCCTGAATTGCAAGTTTGACCTTCAATTATGGCAGATTAATAATCAACTTCAACCCCACATACCAGTAGCTAAAACTCAGGTACTCAGACATAAGGCAGTCATTAACAAGCAATTAATATAATGAACCAAAATATTTTTCATGTATAAATAAGCCAACTGATGTTTTGATAAATAATGGTGCATAATGGTGTAGAATCTCCTAAAGCAGGGATAGGCAACCTTCGGCACTCCAAATGTCGTGGACTACATCCCCCATAATGCTCATACACCCATAATGCTGGCAAAGCATCATAGGAGGTATAGTACAAAACATCTGGCGTGCCAAAGGTTGCCTATGCCTGTCCTAAAGGTATCTTTATTTTATTTATTTTTACAGGACTATCCATATTCAAGAAATAGTTTTTTTTCATTCTAATAAGTAGCTATTGGCTACCTCAAGCAATCCAGGTGCTGTGAATTGATTCTCCCATCAGGTTCAGCCATACTGTGACTGTGTGTACTGGTGTTTGCTGTCCAACTAATTTGGAATGCAGAGACAGGGTTATCATACTAGAACGACAATCAGGTTTGCTCACTTGGGTTTCATAATCCAATTTCAAAGTGAACGGCAGAAACTGAGTTAACTCTCTTATTCAGCACTAATTTGAAGATATTTAAACCTTGCCACTGAAAGCCCTGCTTGAACTCAGATGGCGTTGTCAAGGATATATTTCAACTCTGAGAAGGATTAACAGAATATGAACATTCTGGATTCCAAAAGCTAACTTATAAAGTTCTACAAATGTCCCTGACTGTGTTTGCAAGGCATGTGATTTGCTAGCTCTGATCATTTGTACAGATATTGCATTTAATAGTATAGAATTGTAGGGACTTAAGAACACCAAATCTTGGCGTCCTGCTGGTCCATTAGTAGTGGAACACACTATCCTCGGCACTTTAAGTAGATTGTGTTTTTAATAAGCATCTCTGGTTAAAGGGAATGTTTAAAGGGAATTTAATTCCAATCCCATGGTATTTCTTTTTACAAAAAAAACATAAAATAATTTAAAGGTTTACAAAAATAGAATTACCTTTAAAGCCCTTGAGCTGCATATCGCCAGGAAAAGCAGCATCTGCAATAAGCTAGGACTTAACCAAGAATTGGCCAAGCAGTTCAGCTTCTTGACATTTCAACTTTCTAGGTGCAAGTGCTAAGAATATCCCCCTTTCCAGCAGGGTTTGAGGATACCGAGTTAAGCATCCTGTAGCAGTATGTTTTGTGAAAAGAACATGAGAAACTGTCTCCATTGTATTGCCAAACATCACAGACAAAATGAGGTAACTTTTAAAGCTTGGGTTCCAAGTAAGTAGTTTTTCTCCAGTAAAACAGCTATGGTGTTATGGGTAAATAGAACTGATTCGCCAAAAAAGCAGTTAAAGTAAAAATCAAGCACCAAAACTACTACAGCCTGCTGTAGTGGTTATGAAATCAGGAGTGCCCTGGGCACTGTTAAGGATATTTAATCTGGGAGGATGCCAGGGCACTCAAGATTGCAAAACCACTACAGCACATTCTAGTTCTCATGGTGCGTGGGTGTTCCTTTAAAAGAAGTACCCAGACCCCTAAAGCACTTCAGCTTGTTGAACTGCTTTATGTGTGAAGAGAGTGTCCTCTTTTTGCATTTTATAAAAAGTGCAGAATTCTATAGAAATAAGTACTTTTATTACACCTCTCCTGGCTGTCAATCAGGCAACAGGTCATGTAACTTCCTGGTTTGGTAAGCTCAGTGGCCAACTGCCTTGTAAAGACTTCTCTACGAGCTTCTCCTTGAAGTCTGTGATTGGACAGCCACAGAAAGTCTTGGAAGGGGGATAAGGGGAGGGCTTGCAAAGGCTGCAGACAAGAGATCTGCCACTTTTGTAAGACGGTTTTAGATATACCTAAATGGAAAAAATGCACAATTAAATGCATGCATGTATTCATTGGGGGTATATCTACCAAACAGTGATTTGTATCTATTTTGTTTTTGTATTTGGGCAGTAGAGTGTTCTTTTGAGCATGTACAATGAATTGTAGCAAGCTGAAAATAAAAAAAAATAAAAAACATTGAAATTTAAGTTTTGGCCACCCTATTCGTCTAGCAGGAGGATGGCCTCAACAGGATACACTGGGGAACCAGGCAGAGACATGGGTTACTTCTTCTCTCCTGCAAAGCTTCCTTCTTGTGTTAGGAGGAAGTGATCTGACATCACTTCCTCCTAGTGTTGCCATACAGGAAAGGAATGGTGGCTGTCATTACAGAGTGGCAAGGGGCCTGTGCCGTCACATGTCCATAATGCAGTCTGGTTACAGGAGATATTTACAAACCAACTCAGCTGCATGTGAGCCATGGTGTTCAACCATGCCCTCTAACGAGTACTGGCTGTATTCCCCAGGCATTTCACAGTATCATACATAGCGGTTTGGAGATGACACAATGTGCTGGTCAAGCATTTAAAGCAATAGCAGGCGCTGCTGGTCCCAGAATATCAATCCAACCAGTCAAAATTAAGGACTTACTCAGCAAACCCTTTCACACTGTGACCTTAAACTCCCGCTATTGCCATGCAAAATGGTCCACTAGTGTCCTTTAAACTTTATCCTTTGTGGAAGAATACATATTCATTGAAGGCATCACATAATTGTCACGGTAAGTAATGCTATCCACAGCAGCCATCCGATGGAATGCCTGGATGTGCCATTATCCACATTCGTTGACTCATGCTCTGGCTGAATAGCCAGGTTGAACCTTATGTCACTCACGGGAAGGCTAACTGGTTCTGAAAAAAACGAGAACAGAGAGAAAGAGTGTAATTAATTTACAGCTCAGTACAATTCCATAAGGCACAACAAACTTTATAAACATATGTCTGGGTACTTGTATTATATCATATACTTACCACTCGGACATCCACTTGCATCTCCATGTGTAATATTTTGCAAAAATGGAATCGTTAACCTGTTGATAGGAAAACACAGAGAAACCTTAATATAACAGTGCGGTTTGTTGCTGTTGTTTAGGTGAATTTTAGATTATGGGTAGGCAACCTTCGCACTCCATATATTGAGGACTACATCTCCCCTGATGCTTTGCCAGCATTATGGCTGCAAGAGCATCATGGGAGATTTAGTACACAGTATCTGAAGTGCCGACGGTTTCCTACCCCTGATTTAGATGTTCCACCCACTTGGTATCATATAATTTTAGTTTTAAAACAAAAAAAAGTCATAAATTGGCATGACGCATGGGGCACATAGTACATAAACCTGGGATAAAACAGAACTTTTGTGTATCGATTGTTGCTCAGTTATACTTAGAATATAGAATTATAGAACTTTATATAATTCTACTTTATCGACTATTTATTCAACCTTCATATAAATATTGGGGCACAACAATAATTTGTAATAATGTTATCCCTTATATTGGGACATTGGTTTAAGCAATTACATGGTGTCCCTTATTTTGATATCCTTTAAAGAGGATGTAAAAATGTTTGCTTAGATGCAGAAATACCATTTTGATGTCACAAAATTAGGTAAGCACAGTTACATCAAACATCTTTTTTGACACAGGCGTTTGAAGGCTGTCATTTCAGCCTGCAATAAATCCTGTGACCGTACTCAGTGGGAGTGAAATTTCTCTGCAGAGTTAAAGTGGAGTTGCAGAATAGAAGTACGTGTGAGTGTTAATGGGCCACATATCATTTGCATTGCTTTTCAAAATAATATAAAAGTTAGATCACATGCAAATGCTGTTGTGGGAGGTGGATAAAGGGCAGTATGCCTTATTAAAACAGTAAAAAAATTTTATCCCTAAACCCCAGATTTTTTAAAACTACAGCTTCCATGATGCTTTGTCATTCTAATAGCATTCTAAAGGCATGCAAAGCATCACAGGAGTTGCGGTTCTACAACATCTGGAGATCTACCTTTTATGCACCATTGCCTTATGGTATATTATGTAACACAGGGTGTTTTAAATATAAGAAAAGGTGAATTCTAGAATAAATATATGCATATTTTGCGTTTGTCAGAGCGCTCGGAAGATAATGTTCCACTTCCTCCCTACACTACTTGTATTGCTTTTAAAAAAAAAAAAAAAATATTACACCTCCTACCATCCTTCTTATCCCCCTCCCCTCGTTCCTTCACCCAGCACTGGTTTCCAGGTTTTTTAATTACAAGACAAATTAATAAATGTCATTCTGGTAAATGAATGGCCTTTGTCCGATGCTAGAGATATACTTATCTCATCTAACAGAACATATCTCATAGTGAAATATAGAACATACAAATTATCCCTTTAACATCAATAAGATAAACATTAAGTCTGCTTTATTGTATAATCTATGCTGGTTCTAACAATTCATTGACTGGATAAGGTCTTGAAATCTGGTCAGCACCAGGAGCCGACATCACAGCTATACTCTCACACATGGGCAAGAGTACAGCTTTGATGTCTATGGGGGGTCCCACTATACCACGGGACCCTTAATAGACAGAGCCAACTCCCTGCAGCCGGCACTGGTGATGGTGACGCTGGTAGAGTCTAGTCCAGGGATAGGCAACCTTCGCCACTCCAGATGTTGTGGACTACATCCCCCATAATGCTTTTACACCCATAATCATGGCAAATCATTATGAGAGGTGCCGAAGGTTGCCTATGCCTGGTCTCGTCCCTACTTTGTCTCAGTATCTCGTGACTGGGTTGGAATTTCAGTGAAATCCAAACACAGTCAAAATGAGTATTACATAAAATTCTATCGTTATGAAATACTCACTTTCTCTTATATGCAATTGTTTCTGAATACGTTTGTATATAACTATTTATTAAATCTACTACTGTTTCAGTTTTGCTATACTTCACTCTATGCATTTTTTATTCTTTCCTCTGCAGTTTCGAAGACACCCTAAGCTTGCCTTCACACTTGATTGCATGCAGATGTAGTTTCCAGAGCATGATAAATGGTGAAAGATATTATTAAAAAAAATATATACCGAGAACTGAAAGAAGAAGTTGAGTGTTGAAAAGGTGGTATGAAAACACCTTCTTCACAGAAACAACACATTTCCTAACAAGAAACTCTTGAATTTGAAAGTCTACCAAGGGTAAAATAAATCAATGGAAGATTATTTGAACTTGCTATATCAGCACATCTTCTAAATTGCTTTTTTAAAATGGGAGTACACTGTTGTTTTAAGGAGAACAAAAAAATTTTTTAAACAAATTACCACTATATGCATTTTCTTAATTACTTCATAAAGACGTTTCAAAGGGCAGTGACCTTATATACTGTAACTCAAGAATTTTTACGCCAGTTTTTATTGTGTCAATTGTTTTGCATTTTGTATTCAAGCAACACATCCCAATGATGGTTCCTCAATTTGTCCCCTAACATGGGCTTCCTGCTAAACTGCTGGTATATCATAAATAATTTCAAACAAAAACTAAAAAAAAAAAAAAAAAATGAAAATATATGTACAGAAGAGTCAGAGAAAGGAAAAAAAGAAAATAGGTCAGTTTCTGTAAAAAGTAGAACAGTTTAAAGGACCACTCTAGGCACCCAGACCACTTCAGCTTAATGAAGTGGTCTGGGTGCCAGGTCCCTCTAGCATTAACCCCTTTTTTTTTTTTTTATAAACATAGCAGTTTCAGAGAAACTGCTACGTTTATGTTAGGGTTAATCCAGCCTCTAGTGGCTGTCTCATTGACAGCCGCTAGAGGCGCTTGCGTGCTTCTCCCTGTGATTTTCACAGTGAGAAGATGCTAGCATCCATAGGATAGCATTGTGAATACTTTCCTATGAGACTGGCTGTATGCGCGCAGCTCTTGCCGCGCATGCGCATTCAGCCGAGGAGGAGGAGAGGAGGCGAGCTCCCCGCCCGGCGCTGGAGAAAGAGGTAAGTTTAACCCCTTCCTCACCCTAGAGCCCAGCGGGTGGGGGACCCTGAGGGTAGGGGCACCCTCAGGGCACTATAGTGCCAGGAAAACGAGTATGTTTTCCTGGCACTATAGTGGTCCTTTAAGTGTGTCAACAACACTATTGTTCAAAGCGAAAACAAAGAGTGTTGCATTATTAATAGTTAAGGGAATAAATAAAGGGCCTTAATCAATTATTCAAACACGTCAGAACCTGCGTTTAGACAGCACACAGGTTACTATAGAAATTGTGGAAAAACAATACAATATAATACACACTATACAAGCAATCTCTAAAAAGAAAGCAGAGCTTCACACCAAAATAGCACAAAATACAACCAAGAATTATCCTATTGAGAAAGGCATAAGCTTGCTGAAACGTTGAAGATTGATATAACGCTGCTATCAGCTCTGGTACTGTAAGTTGTGATCGCTCTCTCATTTTTGTAAAGTACTGCTTGTGCTTTTTGTAACGATGATTAATCTGGGCCCGAATATGTATTTTAATTTTAGTGAGTAAATAACAGTTATATTGTATGCTATTTTGGTGTGAACTTCTGCTTTATAATTTAGTCTTAAACATTCAGCACTGTTACAAGCAACCATACTTGTCAATAGTCCTGAATTTGGCAAGCCAGTCCTGATTTCGATATCCCTGTCTTGCCAAACGTGTGTTGAGATAGCTAAGGATTACAGGATATTTCAGCCCTTCCTCTAGAGCAGGCATAGGCAACCTTCGGCACTCCAGATGTTTTGGACTACACCTCCCATGATGCTTTGCTTACTATGCTAGTAAGAGCATTATGGGGGATGTAGTCCACAACATCTGGAGTGCTGAAGGTTGCCTGCTTAGCCACTCAGGCTGACATCCAGGCAAACAGTGTGGCATATTCTTTATGCAAAGTCGCAAGTTAAGTGACTGGCATACACCCAACCGGACTTTACTCTTCTCCAGTCTGGGCAGGACGATCATTAGCTTGACATGATTATCATAACAAGAGGTATAACTAAACCTCGTATTGAAGTAGTTACAACATAATAACAAAATATTTAGAACTCCTGCTAAAACGTATTGTAACTACTGACAGTGATGAGTCTAATGGGTTTAAGGGATCAAGGGAACAAAAAAAATATTTTTTTTCTGAGTGATCAGACTGACCTTTCGTGTTTCAGGATAGATTGGCAACTCCCATTAGCCCAGCCGCAATAGGGGTCCTGAGCCTTAAGACAGCTTTCACAGCTTCTATAGTATCCAGTACAATTATCTACAGGAAGTCTGGCCACTTCCCGTGTTGTTCCCACGTATAGTAAACGCTGCAGAATAAAAGCAAAAGGTTGAGCTACATTCACAGTAAATATTTACAGTGCGCGGTTATTTTGTAAAACAAACATTTTTTGTAAGAAATTCTACCACTATATAAATAGTCTGCCAATGCGACTGTATATTCACACTGTCTGTATACCACATTGTAGAAAAACAGACTAGAGGTTCCCTTTTATTTTGTAAAATGATCACCACGTTAAAGGGTCACTCCAGACCCCCTACCAGTACTCTAGCTGGTTGAAAAGCTTTGCATGTGAAGAGTGTGTCCTGTTTCTTTCATTTTACAAAAAGTGGAGATTTCAATATATATTGACACTTTTATAAATTCACCTGGTTACATCTCCCTCTTGGCTTTCAAGCAGACAACAGGTCCTGTTATACCCTGGTTTTGTTAACTCAGTGGATCTAAACTCAAGAGGCAGAAATTGCTCAGAGCACCTGCCTTCCAAAGACTTCTCATTGAGCTGCATTGAGAAGTCTCTCATTGGACAGCCACAGAAAGTGTGGGTGGAGTCAGAAGGGGAGGGCTTGGAAAGGCAACAGACAAGAGTTCTGCAGTTTTTGCAAGCTGTTTTTAGATATAGCTCCAATGAAAAAAATACATAATTAAATGCATGCAATTTTTCAATTGGGGTACATCAATTAGAAAGTGATATTTATTTATTTTGTATTTAGGCAGTGAAGTCCAGCTGCTGAGAAAGGGCTTTAATCGAGAAACGCATTTAGCATATTCGGATCCCCCCTTTCATAATGTTAAGTGTATATTTTGTTTTATTTGTTACTGGCATGTATTTCAATAATAGTGAGAACTTATCTTACCGAAATATTTTGTGTATTTATCATACCTATCCTAACAGTATGCTTAAACCACTGCATGCGCACAGATTCTAATTGTTTCTCTCAACATTATACTTTCTTTTCCTTTCTTTTCTTTACACATCATTGATTACATAATGTTTAACGCACAACCTGGCCAATAACCAAGTGAGATACTATAATAATCCCTAGGTCTCAGTCTTTTAATTATGTAGATCTTTTGTGAGGCATATTTTGCAACATTCCGTTTAGTCAATTCCCTCACCTGTGTAGGATCCAGTTCGAGGTATCGGATTCTTTCTGGTTGCTGGAGTGGACTCATCTGATGCACGAGTATGAGTTTACCATTTATCTCTACCATCTTGTCAACATATCCGTCATCTGCAGTAAAAACATGTTAATAGACGGAGGAAATTCTTTTTTAGAATTTGTGGATATAATGGAAGCATTTAAATGTTAGTACATTTAACAGAGGAATCAGTACAGGAACGGTCTTACTGTGAAGCATGAGAGAAGAGATGATAAAATGTAAGGCAGCCAACACAATTTTTCGGTCAAATTAATAAAAAAAGTGCCCCCCATGTCTAAAATAAATATCACCCGTAGATATAGAGCAATGCTTATTCAGTGCTGGTCCTAAATAGCAAATTTAATAGCAATCCATCAGAGTGAAAATTATAGAAAAATCTGCAACATGAGAAATGTGTAAAATAACAGAGGGTCTAGAAGAAGAACTTAAAGGGACAGTATAGTCACCCATACCACTTCAGCTCAATGAAGTGGTCTGGGTGCAAAGTCACCCAGGTTTTAACCCTTCAGATGTACCCTTCAGAGAAACTGCTATGTTTACATTCGGGGTTAATCCAGCCTCTAGTGGCTGTCTTCCGGACAGCCGCTAGAGGCGCATCTGCAACGCTAGGTGCGAATTTCACATCTATCGCGCAGAGCGTCCATAGGAAAGCATTGAGAACACTTTGAATGCGCACGCGGCACTTGCCGCGCATGCGCATTTGGCTCCATTGACGTCGGACAGGGGAGCGGACGTTGGACGGGGAGGAGAGGTCACCAGCGCTGAGGGAGCCTGGCGCTGGATTAAAGTAAGTAACTGAAGGGGTTTTAATCCCTTCAGCACCACGGGAGGGGGACCCTGAGGGTGGGGGCACCCTCAGGGCACTATAGTGTCAGGAAAACCGCTTTGTTTTCCCTGACACTATAGTGATCCTTTAATCCCTTTCAAAACACCTTATGTTATGTATAATACTGAACAATGAATGGACACTTTAATAGATATATAAATGAAAACATGCATGTATTTAATTAAAAAAATGCATAATTTGGTTTCATTTCTAAGAACAGCTTGCAAAAGGTGCGGTTCTCTTGTCTGAAGCCCCCCCCTTCAAACCCCACTCAGACTTTCTGATGCAGGTGCTCTGGGTAATTACCTCACTATTGAGTTTAGCTCCACTGAGCTAAACAAGCCAGGAAGTAACAGGACCTGTTTTCTGCTTGAAAGCATGGTGTGTAACAAGGTTCATTTTGAAAATGTTTGTTAAAAAGAAAAAAAGAAGACACAATCTTCACATATAAAGCATTTCATCAAGTTAAAATGCTAAAAATGCTATAGGGGTCCAGAGTGTCCCTTTAACTATAGTAAGTACAGTTATGGTGACTGGTTGGCATGGGTCTACTAAGGCTAAAAACAGAAATGTCCGTTACCTGTAGCCAGAAAGAGAACTCTGTAGGTCTCATTATCTACTGCTGTCACTTTATTCACAACAACATTGGTGTAGAAGACCAAACTTTGGTTCAATGCACTGCCTCCTGATGGCATCACCCAATCCGTTATCTCTGGGTTATTGGCGACCTCAGTAAATGTATCAATTGGTGTCCGCTTCCCAGATTCGAGGCACTGAATGGGGAAAGAAGATTGTTAAGATGATATAAGCACGGGATGGGGGAGATTGGTGCACTTAATGGATTACCAAAGGTTTGTGGAGAGAAAGCAAGGGAGACTAAAGACAAAGATGGAACAAACAAAAACAAAAAAATGACAGAATGAACAGGTGGCACAATTAGGTAAGTAACAGTAACTAAAGGAAGCATAGTTAGCATCAGCAACAAAAAGAATAGGAGGTAAGTGCCTCTCCCCCTATTTTTTTTTTTTTTGGGGGGGGAGCATAATGGAGACTATATACACATTATGGATTTGTCCCCCTAGAAAGTTTTCTGTGGACAACATGGATGGCAAACTAAAAGATTCAAAGACATGGAAATAAGAACAACACTAGAGAGATGTAAATCCAAAACGACATGCAGACTAAGGCTGCGTTAAAGTCGCCAAGGGTGTAAATGACATGGAGAGACAGCACACAGACACTATGTGTTCAGGGCACAGATTATCTCACCGTTCCTGGACGAATATTGAGGCCTGTTGTCTTTGATTGAAATAAAGTAGAATTGTTGAAAGTCTGCTCAATGTTCAGAACACTGTATGAGCAGACAGCAGTCCGATTCCTGGAAAGAGAGATAGATATTGGATGGATGGATGGATGGATGGAAAGAATCTACAATAAGTTGGCTACAAGCACTATATCAAGTGTTTGTTATTTACTTAAAGATAAAGTGCACCTTAAGTTTATATAAATACACAGTATATACGCACTGTATAGGTTAAGACATATAGAGGTTTGCCAAACCGGATACAGCCCAGTGAAAATGAAAATATTTTGTGTAAAGAATTTGGAAATTTATTTTGCACAGTTTTCCAGAACGTCCCATAAAAGATCAATGATGTTTAGGTCTGGAAGGCCACAAAAAGCATTTCCTCTCGTCCTCGTGTTCATCAATCATAGTCTCATCCACTTAGATTAGTCTAGCAGTGTGTATATAGACTATGGTAACATCACTATGAAACTGTGTATACACAGCGCACAGGGGGTCAGGATTTACTTGGTCAGAGCCGTTAGTCCAGTACTAGAGGTCAATAGTGTTGATCGGAACCATGAAAATGTTTATAAAATACAAATTAACAGAGATAAAAAGAAACGCGAGGATTCAGAGAGCACTCTGGTTGGTGTAATACAATCTTCTCATAGTAGCAGAACCGGAATATGATAAAAGCATTTCTCCAGATGTTAAATGTTGGCTCTTCTAAACATCAATTAAAAAGAGCACTTGCATATTGGGATAGTTTTATCGTTTTTCCAAAGATCAATATGTGGAGGTTTGTTTTTATTGGTTATTTCTACAGATCTACAATGAAAGGAATGTTGGTTTGTGCCAACTTTATTCTGTTTAAAGAGGGACAAGACTATGAAACAAGCCACAGAGCTATTTTGCTACTATTGATTTTCAGAAATAATGATCAATTCAGGTAATGGAGCTCTCATAATGTTTCTTATCCTTCCTAACTATAATAATTGAAAGGGAAACTATAGCCACCAGAACAACTACAGCTTATTGTAGTTGTTCTGGTGAGTAATGCCCGGCCTAACTGGCCTTTTGTTGTAAACACTGCCTTTTTGGTGGAAAAGGCAGTGTTTACGTTACAGCCTAGGAACAACTCTAGTGTCCACTCCTCAGATGGTGCTTTCTGGGTCAGCACTGACGGTTAGCATCTCCACGTTCTACATAGAGACGCTGAACTTTCCCCTTAGAGATGCATTGATGTAATGCATCTCTATGAGGAGATGCTGATTAAACAGGGAGGTTTTTGGCTCCATCCCAGCCTCCTCGGCTGAGAGCATGGGAAAGCATTGTGATTGGCTGAGATCATCAATTCAGATGCTGTCAGCCAAGGAGGCAGATCGGAAGCGGGGACAGACATAAGGAGCTGGAAAAAGGTGACTAAATCACCTTTGTCACTGGAATTCATTAATGATGTCAGATTCACTGAGCCATTTGGGACGTATGTTGTAATAGTTTTGTTATACTATTTTTCTTGTTAATTTTATGATACCTTAGATCTGTTGCACATTACACAATACACAGATGTGAATTTTAATTTAAAAATGGCAATGTACAATTTATATGCAGCCCGTAGACAGATCTAGTGAAACGAGTTGGAATAAAGTCATAATTTTGAGGATCTCACCATGCATTTTTGAACAGGCCATAGATCAGGTCTCCTTCCTTTCTCTTCAGCATAAAAATATCTTGTAGGTATGGAAAATACTGATTTTTCGCAGGATACCCACATACTAGTCTTGATTTCAGTGCTGTGCTAAATACATTGTAATTGTTGGTGTCATCGGGACCAATCTCATGCTGAGAGATAACATAATGAGACAAAGGAGATATTAAAAATAAATAAGTATATAATAGCGAGAGGGAGAGAAAGAATAAGAGAGAAAAAAAAAGGGTGTGAATCACCACTAGGGGCATCTGCTTTCAGCACTTATATTTGCCCTTTTGAGCTTGAATAGGCTGAGAAGTACCAGGAGCCTTGGCTAGTGTCCTTTGTGGTCCAGCTAGCCATAATAGCAGAGCTGCAGAAAGTGTTGCTGGTCCCAGCTCCTCATGGGTCTGTGTGTGAGGCTGGACAGGAAGTGGAAGGGATCACTTCCCATCTGCCCACTAACCGCCTCTCACACAGAAAATCTCTGACTAAACACTGGGTCCTAGGTGTCTGCCTAAAGCCACCTTGTAGTTTTATATGATTTGCTTCTTGGATAGAATTTATTTTTTGCAACAAGATCTCCTGTCCCTGACCCAAGATTTACTATAGTAAAGGTGCCAAAACCTGCAAAATCTCTGCAGCTATTACTCAATTCCCTCATTCAGATATCTGATTGGGGAAATCCATACAAATGATTATATTGATGTGTGTACACAAGATCCCACCTCCTCGGACACTGGCAATTTCCTACATGGAATCATCCAAATTTACAAAAGCTCAGAAAAAAAAGAGTACGTTTTCATAAAGAAGCAGAAACTCTTTATTTATAACAATTTTTGTGAAGTCCTCCCTAACTCAGCAAAGTCTACATGGACAAAAATCAATTAACCAATCAATTAATCAATCAATGATCAGTACAGTTTTTGCTTTATTTATGTTGGTGCCGAGTAAAACGCACGTTATTGATGGGTATTTAACACTCTAACTGTTGATAATTATATCCACAGTGGAAATACATTGAATCCCATTTCCTGATTATAATATTTTAGAATCATTATCTCCCATCATCCAAAGAATTTTCATGACAGCAAATTGCAATTTTGCTCACCTTACACATTTGGGCCACCATGGACAGCCTTTTCTCTGTAGTACGGGACAGACCACTATCCTCTATGAAGAAGAGTAATATTTTATCTTGATCCCTTGATTTACTCTCCACCACCAGAGATTTTACAAACTGAGGATCTAAAAGGGAAAAGTGAAGACGGGAGACGGTAGTAGAGGGTGATAATTATTTAATCAACAAGACATCACTAAAAAAGGAATTTCGAGAGAGCGTTAAAAATAAAAATGATGTAATAATTCTCTCTTTCTCCATTTTAATTCTTCTTTTTTTCCTGACATTATCTTTTTCTGTCTATATGCTCACCATTTAATACTCGTGTCTTCTGCCCACGTTTTCACCCTAAAACTAACTCACACACTAAATCGTAGCCTTGATTTAAAGCTTTTTGCGCCTTTGCCTTATTCTCATCCCTCTATTTCCATCAATCTGTTGCTTCCTAAACCCCATATTTTATACTTTCCTTTACGACTTACTTCTCATAAGGTTATCTCCAGTGTACAGCAGCGGTTTGGATTTATAACTTTTGTGAAATCTCGGCTTCTTTGTGTTTCCATTGCTAGTCTGTCGGACAACTGTTGAGTAAGCATCATTTCCTAAAATGGAGGGAGTCATGGAGGGAATACATATTGAGAGGCAGAATTAATAACAGTAGCAATCATTAAATAGGAATAATGTAAAAAGAAAACAGAATAGAGAGATAAGAAATGAACAGATACAAAGCAGGAGAGATAGATTGTAAATGAAGAAAAAAGATGTTGGCGAGGATTAAAAACATTCAATCAAGGAAACAAAAGCAGGACGTAGATTAAGCGTACTCTACTTGCCTACTTTCCCTGTCAGTGACAGTAATTAGCATCATTGTGATTATCTCCATGGCAACTAGACGTAGGACCCTTAAAGGGCAAGTCTCACCCCAAAACTATTTTTAACATATTAATCCTTTCATTAAGTTTTTAAAGGAAATTTTCTTTTTTAAATGACGTATATTTAAAAAAACAACAACAACAAAAACAAAATCGAGAACAACATATCCCTACCTTTAGTATATGATAGGATTCTTCAGCCATAAACATGCATCTTGGGTCAGACAGTGTTTGGAAACAGACATTTAATCTCTGTAGTCTACCCTGCTTTATTTAAAAGGGGTCAACTTTAAACCAGGGATACTTCCTTTTGTCCAAAAACTACTTAAGTGGCATCGCACAAGTTGTTAATCTTTAAGGGACACATATATCTATCTTAATACGGTTTACTTCTGCATTGCATCACGTGAAAACTAGGCATGTGCATGGGGAAAATATTCGGCTCGGTTCGGCATTCCGAAATTCGTGAATTCGGCACTTCGCCACTTTGGAACTTCAGATCTTAGACACTTCGGAACTTCGGCAACTTCTGAACTTCGGGACTTTTCTTGCAGCCAGTTGGTAGATAATTCCCTAATTACCACGGTATTAGGGAGCTATCTACCAAAAGGCTGAAAGACCTAAACTGGTCTTTCAGTCAAATTTACTAATACTAAGTAAAAATTTCTTAGTATTAGTAAATTGTGTCCCTACTCGCTATACCGCAAATAGGGGCATGTCTAGTAAACAGTGAGCACCGGCCTCCCCACCGGCCCCAACCCCTGAGCGGTGGGTGGGGGCCCTAAAAACAAGAATAAGGGAGGGGGGCCTAATGTCCTCACCCCTGAGCGGCGGGTGGGGGCCCTAAATACAAATTGGGGGGGACTTATTGTCCTCCCATCTAGCCCCCAACCCCTGAGCGGTGGGTGGGGGCCCTAAATGAAAATTAAACCCCTCCAGGTGACTAGGGGTCCCCAAACCCCTATTCACCCCCTCCCCATAAAAATAAACCCCTACCTACCCCCCTCACCCTAAAAATAATGAGGGACCTTTAACTAAGTACCTGTAAAAATAAACATAAACTTACCATTTGATGTTTTCTTTCTTCTAAAATCTTTTTTCAGCCCCAAAAAAAGGGCAAAAAAATCCATAATAACCGACGCAATAAAAAAAATTAAAAATTAAAAGCGCAAAAAAAGCTCCCTAATACCGTGGGAATTAGGGAGTTATCTACTTATTCATTCCTGTCATTACATTGACTGGCTAAGTAACTTACATTTTATATGAATGTACGTTACTTGATTGTTGTAAGTGTTGCAAATGCTTACAGCTGAATCCTGGCTATGTTTGTATACTTTTTATTTGAAATTGTATACAGTGTAACATTCTTCATTCTTCCACTGGGTAAGTAAATTAGTTCTTAGGCAATACTGTGCTTCGGAATTTCGGCACTTTGACACCTCAGAACTTTGGCACTTCAGCAATTTGGCACTACTACACTTCGGGACTTCGGCAATTCAGCTATTCGGACATTTGGAAGCACCCGAATGTCCGCATTACCCGAAATTCGGCCGAATTTTAATTCGGACCGAAACGAATTGCACATGTCTAGTAAAAACAAAATCATACTTTCCTTAGAGAATGCTGACTGAATGCTTAACAGTAATGTTTCATGTTTTCATTTGCATATCGGTAGTTCGAAAGGCAATGAAAATGGATCTGATATTGATCAAAGAGTGGTAAAGAGATGACTGTATACTTTCAAGTGTTAATAGTCTGCCCCTTCCATCCCATAGAAAACATATTTCTGACACTAGCATTGAGTTATATATATTATTGTGGGTTTTTGGATGCTTTATATGAATATGTTCTAGAAAGAGTTTATGAGGAGCAATAGAGGAAGCCTGGTGGTAAGTCAAGGAGAAACAGAAATTTAAATAGAGTAGTTAAACCTACCTGTAATTAAGATATTAAAATTGGCATTTGGCAAATGAGGGGAGAAGCCGTCATTCAAGTCTGATCGTTTCTCCAGTGTTCTGTTGTCCTGGAAATTAGAGTCAGAATTTATTCCTAATTCAACACAGTTCTTTCAGACAAATCTATATATATATATATATATATATATATATATATATATATATATATATATATATGCTGCTCTTTATGAACTAGCTGTTATACCCTCTGTGAAAAGAAATAACTTAAAGGGACAACTTTAGCTTAATGACGCAGTTTTAGTGTAAAGATCATGCCCCTGCAGTCTCACTACTCAATTCTCAACCATTTAGGAGTTAAATTGCTTTTGTTTCTGTTTATGCAGCCCTAGCCACACCCAGGGCCGGCGCGTCCATAAGGCGGCACAGGCGGCCGCCTTAGGGCACACCGGCTCTGGGGGCGCAAAATTCCAGTGACCGGCAGGAGGGAAGTGCTCCCTACTGCCAGGTCACCTCCTGGATCCCCGGCGCGGCGTGCGGCTGAATTGGATGCCGAGGTGGCGAGGGAGCTCTGATCTCTCTGATCTGCTCCCTTGCAGGCTGCTTACTGATGACGTCATATTCCGGCTCCCGCGGCATCAGTAAGCAGCCTGTGAGGGAGCAGATCAGAGAGATCAGAGCTCCCTCGCCACCTCGGCATCCAATTCAGCCGCACGCCTCCCAGCAGCCCCACTGGACCACCAATGAGAGACCCACGCCAGCTCTCCAGGTAGGGAGGCTGGGTGGGAAATTTTAATTTAATTTAGATGATTAATTACTGTTAGTGTGTGTGTGCATGTGAGTGAGTGTGTCTGTCAGTGTGTGTGTGTGTGTGTGTCTGTCAGTGTGTGTGTGTGTCTGTCAGTGTGTGTGTGTGTGTGTGTGTCTGTCAGTGTGTGTGTGTCTGTCAGTCAGTGTGTGTGTGTGTGTGTCTGTCAGTGTGTGAGTGAGTGTGTCTGTCAGTGTGTCTGTCAGTGTGTGTGTATGTGTATGTGTGTCTGTCAGTGTGTGAGTGTCTGTCTGTCAGTGTGTGTTGTGTATGTGTGTCTGTCAGTAGTGAGTGTGTCTGTCAGTGTGTGTGTGAGTGTGTCTGTCAGTGTGTGTGTGTGTATGTGTGTCTGTCAGTGTGTGTGTCTGTGTGTGTGTGTGTGTGTGTGTGTGTGTGTGTGTGTGTGTGTGTATGTGAATATGTGTGTGTGTGTGGTTCTGTCAGTGTGTGTGTGTGAGTGAGTGTCTGTCAGTATGTGCGTGTGTGCATGTGAGTACATGTGTCTGTCAGTGTCTGTGAGTTGTGTGTGTGTGTGTTTGTCAATGAGTCTGTCAGTGTTTGTGTGTCTGTCAATGAATGAGTGTCAGATAAGTGAGTCTGGCTGTCAGAGATGTCTGTGTGTTTGTCATTGAGTGTGTGTGACTGTCAGTGTTTCTACACCCCTGACTGTAGCGTGGCCAAGCGGAGTGTACCGTGGTACAGGAACTTCTGTTTCCTGTACCTAGCAGGACTGACAGGAAAAGCTCACTGTACCGGGATTCGCTCCGCTCAGCCACGCTACAAGAAAGGTAGGAGGCACACCAGGAAGGGGAGGGGACCACTATGGGGGTGGGTGGCGCACCAAGGGACATGGAGAAGAGGGGAGAGATACCCTAAGGTACAGGAAAAGGAGGGAGGGGGGAGAGGAACACTAAGCGACAGGGAACAGAGGGGGAAGGGGAGAGGAACACTAAGGGACAGGGAAAGGAGGGGGGGAAGGGAAAGGAACACTGAGGAAAAGGGAAAGGAGGAGAGAAGGGAGAGGAACAGTAAGGGTCAGAGAAGGGAGGGGACCATTAAGGGACAGGGAGAGGGGCTGGATGTAAAAGAAACACACAGCGGGGCTTGAGAAGGAAAGAGACACACAAAGGAGCTGGGAAGAATAAAAGACACAAAGAGGAGAGATAGGAGACACACAAAGGCAAAAATAGGAGATAAAATACACTAAAGGGAGTCAGATATTTAAAAGACAGGATAAGAAACACAAAAGGGAGGTTAAGAGGCACATGGGCAAATATGTTTTTGGGGGGGGGGGGAGGAAAAATGCATCTTCGCCTATGTACCCAAAATTCTTTGCACCGGCCCTGGCCACACCTCCCCTGACTGTAATTGGCACAGCCTGCATGAAAAATAAGTCAATTTTCAATCCGATGTTAACTTGCTTTATGTTTACTTTAAGTTTTTATCTCCTGCTCTGTAAATTGAAATTCAATCACACACAGGGGGCTCCTGTAGGGTCTAGCAAACTATTAACGGAGCAGGATATAAGAAATTCTAAATTAAACAGAATGTGCAATAAAAGGAAGTGTAAACATTAGATGTCGCTTTACAGGAATTGTTTAGGAAAGCTGTGCAAATCACATGCAGGGAGGTGTGACTAGGGCTGTATAAACAAAATGATTTACCTCCCAAATGGCAGAGAGTTGAGCAGTGAGACAGCAGAGGCATGATCTGTACACCAAAACTGTTACATTACGCTAAAGTTGTTTTGGTTCCTTTAGTGTCCCTTTAACTTGCATATTCCTTGTACACAGTAACACACTCTTATTTTACATAAATGCCTCTACAAGATTTAACTACAAGCTTGGTTTAGCACGGCTAGTTTAATCAGCATCATGAAATGCTGACTATGTGTTGTGAAGGCAACTGATTGTTTAGTGTGTTAACCTCTTGCTCTGGTGAGTACTGCTGACTGTGGGTTTACTCATTGTCCCATGCTTGGTGGTGGGGGACTGCTAATGTTTGTCACTCTTCTTTTTAAACATTCTATGGTTCTCTGGAGCTGAGCTATGCCATTTCTTATTATAGCAAAGAGTATACAATGCTTCATGAAAGAACAGTCACACCTATACTTGCCTTTTGTTAGAAGTTAACATTTTTAGTTTCATTTCTTTTAAAAAGAGGAAGTAATAGAATTTTTGAGAAAATGTAACTTTTTTCTTTTTATGTGGCTGAGCAACAATAACATTTCTATAAAAATAAAATAATACAATGCTTGTGCCTTCAAGACTAATTATACAGTTCTATTAATATCATAAGAGGACACGGTAGATCTGTAGAATATAATTACAGGGAAAATTGTCAGATACAAGAAGACCTTTCTGGACACCGTTAGAGTCAATACGAAACTGAAAATGTTTTGTTAAAGTGTGAACGAAAAAAGCCTGATCTTGTGTTGGTGTCTGAACCACCTTCCAGAATCTATCCCCATCTTGGCAGAGCCAGATAACGAGCCCATTGGGCCCTGTGCTGACAATTACAACAGTCCTATTTACAGAAACATCAACAGAATACACTAAAACCCTCATACCTTCCAAGCTTCATGTATCCGATGGAGGGGATGCTGGAGGACCATCGTAAGAAAACACTAATCTCTCACTTTCATCTCTCAAGCAAATCCATACCCCCTAACATCAGCGTCCGGTGATGCAGGGTAAAAGGGTTGGCTACTGACACAAATCACTTAACCAGCACTGCCCAAAGGGGCGGACAACGCCAAGAAAGGGGACAGGTCCGCCCGAAGTATTGGAAGGTCAGCTTGGTGTGAATGGATGTCAGGCTTCCCATCAATCACGCAGGCTGGCCAACTAAGGGCCTACTATGCAGACAGCGCACTGGGCTTGGCAAAAATGCGTCTAATGTTGCGCTTGCTCTACACTGCTCTGAGAACTGTCTTCCAGGAATTAACTTGTTCTCTCCTCTCCTTACCGTCTTACTAGCAGACAGAAGCTCCTTGTTTGCAGTCTGGGACAGAGCAAAGGTGGATGTAGTGGATGTATAAGAAAGGGGACATGCTGCAGTGTTAGAGAGACTGAAGAGCATTTGCACAGTGTGAAAAGTCAGCTGTACCTTAACTAATTTCATAGTTACTAAGTTTTGTCTCCCTACATCCCTCTTAAGTTTCCAGTCTTAATTCCTCTGCACAAAGCAAGTGCATGTGACGAGTAGTAAAAAAAAACAAAAAAAAAACAAGTATTTATTTTTTTGTAATCATTCTCAATGGCCCTATTCTATGGGCATGTGCCTGTAGCTTCAGCTCCATTAGCCCCTATGTTATTCCAGACCTGCTTCTCGGTTGGAATTCTATTCTCCAGCCTCCGAGTATTTCTGATTCTCCTGTTATCAAACTAACTTCTGCTGCAGAGTCCCACATAGCACACAGAGCAGTAGGCAAGTTAGGTTGAGCAACAATCGGTCAGATAACAGTAAATTGTGAATTACTTAGAGACAGGTTGCAAATCCACCCCCTAACGCTCGAAATAGCATTCCTACCAAAAACAGGAAAGAATAAAAGGTTTTTCAGACTCGACCTGAGCGTAAAGCTTTTTTTGTTCATGCTTTGACAATGCATTTTAATTTTTGTTTTGGAAATAATAGAGTCCACAAAGTTATTCTTACATTTATAACATGTCATTTTCCTGTAATTATATTTTACGGATCATCTGTTTCCTCTTATTATATTAATGTAACTGTATTATTTGTATTGAAGGCTCAAGGAAGGTATCATTTTATTTTTCTAAGAATGTTAATTCTGTCTTGGAACTTATATCTTATTATTTATTTTACTAATACTGTGAGAACTAAAATACAATAATTAACGAATAATACAAGTATAATGCAGTTTAGTATTGTGCGGTGTTCTCTACATACTAGTAGCCCAAGAGGTAAGTGCACCCATTGACAATCCTCCTCTGATCACATGTCTTTTTGCATTTACTATTTTAGTTTAAATTATGGAGTTATACTTTATGTGATATGGAAGAATGAACCATCAGACATTTTCATTTGTAGGCTCGAAAGACAGAACTACAAACTGGATAGAAACTGATGGGATAGCGGATAGAATTCCTTCTTGAAAAAGGTAGGCTGGCAAAACAGCATAAAATTATTTGATTTGTTAATTGTGCTGGTCAATTGGAATGTTGTTTCTACAAGCATATCATTAGTCCTACATTTTAATACTATTTTGTAATAATGTTCCTGTTGCGTACTTTTTTCTCTCTTCCTTCTACCATTTTTTCCACGATTATGAAATAAATGCAGCAGATTTCAGCGTTCTCTAGAAGCACAAATTAGGGAACGTTTTCATCGATAAGAAAATTGACACAACAATAATAAGACAAGAAATATGGATTCCTTGCTCCAGGAAGAAAAGTGAATTTAATGACGCAGCTATCAGTATATGTCAAATTATGTTCTGATGCTTCCAATGATTACCACGTGACATTAGAGATTACAGCAAGGTTGCCAAATAGGTATATCCCAATAGGTATTAGAGACCTACAACACCCATGATGATTTTCCAGACTTTAAATGGCAAAGCATCATGGAAGTTGTAGTCCAAAAACAACATTTTTGGTATCCCTGGAATTAGAGCCTATATTTGTAGAATCCGTATGTACTGTTTGTTCTCGCAATTCTTTCACATCCACGTTTGTCACTCTAGATAGCAACTAATGTGACTAAGCGTTTCTTGGGAACATGATGTGTAATCAGTACACACTGTATAACAGACATGTATATCATAACATTACAATCTCTCATTCTAAAATTAAAGAACTCTATGTTGTCTACATAGTATTTAAAATGTATATCACAAATGTTCTCTACTGTAAATTAAACATAAAAATAACATTAAAATAAATAGATAAAAATAACTGCCTGAATTATGTAGATAGTGCATTCTCACATACATATATCTCTATGTTTTTTATAATATTTTTAAAAATATATATTTTTTAAGTCTGGTTACTCACTTTAATACGCATTAACATTGTCTAAGTGTCTGGACCAGCTCACACCATAGATGTATTAAATACCAGTAAGTGAATTATATCCTTACCAGATTCCAGCACGTTGGATTGTTACCATTGGTCCCACAGACAAGAATCTTTCCCTCTAGCTCTTCAACAATGGTAATATGATTTGCACCATTCTAAGACATAGTACAAAAGTGATAAAATAGATTTAGTGCAATTTTCTCTTGACAGATTGGAATACATAGCTACTTTCTGGCACTTAGAAAAAACTTGATGTGACGGCAAAGTCCGTACAAGACAGTGAAAGAATATATGACATATTTAAAAACCAACATTCTGTAAAATTGTGTTTACAACAGCGACTGGCTCTATATATATATATATATATATATATATATATATATATATACACACACACACACACACTTCAGAAAGGTGTAAACAAGTTTAAAGTAAGCATAATTTCATATGGGGGCAATGTGATAGTGATGGGCTTGTAAGGCACTAGGACTAGCATAAATTAGAGGTATTGAGGAAAAAAAAAGTTAATATTTTCAAGTATCACACTTTTACTCTTACCTTGCTATTCACATCCTCTGATTTGTGTTCTATCTGTAATAATGGAATAGAGATAAAGTTTAGAACCCGTAGCTGGGTTATATATGCAAAACGTAGACATTTTAATACTAATTTAATGACATCATGTTCTTTATGTTGAATTCATATTGATTAGCTGAGAGTCATTTTAGTTGTTTTTAAACCTTTAACATATTTCAAAAGCTCGTACTTGTTTATTTATTTATTGTGTATTTGTATTTCACTGATAACCTGCTCATTAACATGACTGTACAAAGAACAAGAGGCCATCCTTTAGTTTAGAAGAAATAAGATTTTGTCTAAGGCAGAGAAAGGGTAATAAAGATCTGCCTAAACCTCTCTTTTATTAGAATATAATAAATGTTTTATGTTTTATGTTTGGCATGACAGCATCGAACGCAGGTAATACTTCTCTAACAGTCATTGGATTGACAAAGCACGGCCAATGCTGCACATGTACTGAAAGCTTTCTTTTGAGAAAAATCTAAATTGGGGACTTCACCATCACCAGAGGAGGATTGGGCTTAGAAAAGGAGTCTGGAGTATTCCTGGATTACATGTATGTTTTATGGTAATTAAAGGGACACCAGAGTCACCCAGACCACTTCAGCTCAATGAAGTGGTCTGGGTGCCAGGTCCCTCAGGTTTTAACCCTTCAGATGCAAAAATAGCAGTTTCAGAGAAACATTTGGGGTTAATCCAGCCTCTAGTGGCTGTCTTCCGGACAGCCACTATAGGTGCATCTGCAACGCTGGAGGCATATTTCGCCTCCATCACGCAGAGCGTTCATAGGAAAGCATTGAGAAATGCTCTCCTATGGACACTTTGAATGCGCTCGCGGCACTTGCCGCGCATGCGCATTCGGCTCCGCTGACGTCGGACAGGGGAGCTGACGGCGGAGGAGGAGGGGTCACCAGCGACGAGGGAGCCCGGCGCTGGATTAAGGTAAGGTTTTAACCCCTTCAGTGCCACGGGAGGGGGACCCTGAGGGTGGGGGCACCCTCAGGGCACTATGGTGTCAGGAAAACCGCTTTGTTTTTACATTTATTTATTTTTTACCATGGAGGGGCTATATATCTAACAAGAATAAGGAATAAATGTCTTTTAAGAAAATAATATGATTTAATTACTGTTCCTTTAAGCTACCGACACAGATAACACATATTCCAAAACGGATGTTACAGAAGCTCAGTGGGCTCTGAGCTGTATTACTGTATCCAGTTATGTGAATTTGAGTTGGATTTGTTTTGGGGTCTTGTTATTAACTCTTCTAGCATCCAGCACCTAGGCTTATTCTACAAGATGTGCCTTTGATTTGTATAAAATACAATGTATACCTGGCAATGTGTTATGAAGGCAGTATAATTCTAGAATTGTATAAAGTCATCGTGCTCAAGAACAAGTAGCCATCGATCATTTACCTGTAGGGCTTCCGTAGTTTTGAAATCAAAGATATAAAGAATTTCCTGGCCTCCAACGTATAAAACATTTTCATTAGTCAGATGAAATACAGGATTTTTCTGTTGATGTGAAAGATTAAAATGTTGACCAATACCTGTGGGGAAACAAAAATAGAGAGTTAATGTGTGTGAGTTAACGAGCAACTAGCAAAAAGCATGACCGAAAAGAGAGAATTAATGGCCATATCGGCTTTATACATATATCATACGGTTCCAGGCAGAAAAGCCATATTAAAGTGGATCTGTTGTGTTACATGCAACTTTGTTTATTTAAAGATAGAGGAGACACATTGTGTTAGGAAAGTTTCTAAACAAAAATGTGAATTTTCATAATAAAAAAAAACCATAAAAACATGCTTCCTCCACTCAATCAATGAATCCATTAATTCTCGGCACAGAAAGCAATGACTTAAAGGAACACTAATCATCAACAAAACTTTATCTTAATCAAGTGATCTTGGTGTATAGATCATGCACCTGCAGATTCTCTGCCATTTAGGAGTTAAATCACTTTTGTTTCTGTTTATGAAGCCCTAGCCACACCTCCCCTGGCTGTGACTCACACAGTCGTCATGAATAAAAATAGTCACATTGTCAATCAAATCTTACAGCACAGTGTGTTTATTTTAGAAGTTATTGTCTCGTATTCCGCTAATTGAACTTTAATAACACACAGAATCCTGCTATAGACTCTAACAAGCAATTAACAGAGCTAGAGACAAGACATTTTAAATGAAACACACTGTGCAAGAAAAGAAATTAAACTTTTTTTTTTTTTTACTTTTCCAGGAAACGTATAGGCCACGTATGCTGCAGGGGATGTGTGACCAGGGCTGCATAAACAGAGCGATTTAACTTTTAAATGGCAGAGAATTGAGTAGTGAGACTGCATTAGAATGGTCTATACACCACAACCACTTAATTAAGCTAAAGTTGTTTTGTTCCTTATAGTGTCCCCTTTAAGTGAGTCATTCTGCTCTACATCACAGCAACTACAGTACATGCACTCTGGTTCTTGTGCTTTTTCCTCTAGCGAATGTTTCTCAGACTCTGCTGGTGAAATATAAGGACATAGTTACAGATGTCATGTTGTCTGATACCTATGTGCTGCCAAGGAAGATAGCATGTTGGAAGCTCTGGAGAGGAGATAAGTATTTCATTTAAAGGGACACTATAGTCACCTGAACAACTTTAGCTTAATGAAGCAGTTTTGGTGTAAAGAACATGCTCCTGCAGCCTCACTGCGCAATCCTCTGCCATTTAAAAGTTAAATCCCTTTGTTTATGAACCCTAGTCACACCTTCCTGCATGTGACTTCCACAGCCTTCCATAAACACTTCCTGTAAAGAGAGCCCTATTTAGGCTTTCTTTATTGCAAGTTCTGTTTAATTAAGATTTTCTTATCCCCTGCTATGTTAATAGCTTGCTAGACCCTGCAAGAGCCTCCTGTATGTGATTAAAGTTCAATTTAGAGATTCAGATACAATTATTTAAGGTAAATTACATCTGTTTGAAAGTGAAACCAGTTTTTTTTTTTCATGCAGGCTCTGTCAATCATAGCCAAGAGAGGTGTGGCTAGGGCTGCATAATCAGAAACAAAGTGATTTAAATCCTAAATGACAGTGAATTGAGCAGTGAAATTGCAGGGGAATGAGCTATACACTAAAACTGCTTTATTTAGCTAAGGTAATTTAGGTGACTATAGTGTTCTTTTAATGCCTAAAGGAAATAATGAGACAATCCTGGCACCAAGTTAACATAGTTTTTTTTTATAGCTTTTTGCTTTGTCCTCTTACCTGGCACTGATCCCAACCTCCATTACTTCTGACAGAGAAGCGGAAGCTTCCGTTAGCTCTCCTGAGCTAAGCTCTACAGTGCAGTCAGCTGGTAACGTCAGCTGATTGCCCTCATCCACTGGTTCTCTGTCATACAGGAGGCAGTGAGCAGGGAGTGGGCGCCAGTGTACCCCAGGTAGAAAGTCTATATTTACCTACATTTGGGGACACTCCAGCCTCATAACCATTACAGCGCGCTGTGGCGATTTTGGTGCCTCGAGAATCATTTATTGACACATGCTTTTATTTACAAAACAACAGATTTGTTTTGCAAGCATGTGATGAGCGAGTTCTGCTTAGTACTGCACTGTCTACTTCCTATTTACTTTAGGGTCGGATTTACAGGCATTAAATAAGACAATATATTAGTTTTCAAGAGACAATGTTCATGGGAATAAAAGAAGTAATAATAATGAAACGTTTAACGCAATAATGAAGTATGAGTAAACAAATTACTGTAACTCAATGTCCATATTATAGCTAAGCATAGGTTCGAATAAACAGGATGTGAATTTAATTTACAGGAATAAAGCATGTATTTTCCCTTACTACATCTTTAACGAAACAAGATCTCAATACTATGTCTCATTGAAAATGACCTTTCTAGACTGATAGAGACTGTAGCAATATCTGTCCTTCTATTATGTTTTAATGGACAGTGCTTAGTCACAGCACTTACTGTAACGACTGTCCAGGAAATACACAGTGCTGCATTCTAATTTGTTTAGTCCATATTATTGTCTACCTCCTGTATATATTCTATAAATAATTGTTATAGGTCATACGTGACATTTGTCATCTCTGAATCCTATGAAAAAGACTGATTTGTCCAATGCAATATAAAATACAATTTAAAATATCATCTAATGTTTATGGAGAACTCGGAATTTAGGTGGATTCCTGTACTGTACCAGAATAGTATCTATTTATTCTACCTGTCTGTATATATATACACACACACACACACACACACTGTGTGTTAGGCAATTTTACTTCTCTATTTTTAAGAATTTGCAACCATTACTTAACCATTAGTAAACTTCCCCAAACAATCAGAGATAGACCTTTTAGAAAGCCACAACACCATCTATGCAGAACGTGTTAATGTATTTCAATAGTGCAGAGCAACACATAAACAAAATCAGAAAAAAATATTTTTTCATCCAAGCAAACTATTTAAAGAAAGAGTAGTTACGTATAATCAGCTGAAGACATTTATGAGTCTTAAGTAAGTATTTGAATTAAGATTTGATGAAGCTTCGAATTATAAATGTTGGATAAGCTTTCAAATTATTTCATATTTTTTAATTTTTTTTTAATTTAAACATTAAAATATCATTAAAATATATAAAAAAATACATAAAATAATATGTAAAATATTTAAAAATATTTGAAAGATTTAATATTTTATTCTAACATTATTTTAAAAGTTTATTTAAAAAAAATGTAATTGTTTGGAAAGCTTTTTCAACAATATTGAATCAAAGCCTTAGTCCTCGCTTTAATATTGTTGGATGAGCTTTCCAATTGATTGGAAATTTTTGGATAAACTTTTTATTTTTTATTTTTTTTTTGCAGCTTTTAAATTTATTGTTCCCTTAAAAATAACTTTTTTTTTCCCAATGTGTTTTATTTTAGGCATATTTTTTTTTTCATCATCGTATAAAACAGAATACGAGGTATATCAGGGGGTACAGAAGAGAAAGGGGAAGGGGGGAGGGGAAAAAGCAGCTTATATAGGTTTACACATATCATTCAGTACAGTACAGTGTAATACAGTATGGAACAGCTGACAATGCAATTGTCTGGTAATCCGTGGTAAGAGGACATTATAGGCATTGTAGGCACTACAATTAACATGTGATCCTCATATTACATATTAAAAGTGAACAAACATTTTAAAAGTGAACATACATTAGAGCATTCTGGCTTAATCGTAGGAGGGCTGCTATATGAGCCCATGGAGTAGGAGGGGGGGAAACCCGAATGGGGTTAGTGGTCGGACTACGGCACCTGGGGCGTCTCCCCCTCTCTATAGAGTACCCAACTTTGCCATCTTAATTTATACCTACTTTGGCTATTTGTCAGCCGGCTAGCCATACGTTCATAAGCATGGAATGAGTCCAGCCTGCTGAGGATTTCTGGCATTGTTGGTGTCAGTGGTGATTTCCATCTGTGTGCTATGGCAGTTTTGGTAGCCATGAGACAGTGAATCATGAAAGGGATTGCTTCCGTGGGAAGGGTATTCGGAAAAATATGTAGATGAAAGCACTCTGGGGATTGGGGAATTTGCACTCCCAGAATTTTATACAGAAGAGCGTGTACGTCCCGCCATAATGTGGTAATAGACGTACATGTCCAAAATAAATGTAAGAGGGACCCTTCGCTATTGTGGCATCTCCAACAGCTTGCGTCAGAGCCCGGATAGATACGGGCCAATTTGGTGGGGACTAGATACCATCGCATCGTTAATTTACAGTATGTTTCCCATTGATTAAGGCTATGGGACGCCTGTTTAGTTAATCTTTGGGCGCGATGCCATAATTCATTAGAAAAATGCTTTCCTAGGTCTGATTCCCATTTAGACATATACGGTGGTTTGGACAGTTTGTCTTGGAGCAATAGAGTGTTGTAACATAGAGATAATGCTTTGGTTTTTGGAAGCTTGCCCATGCATTTGTGGATGAAGGGCGGTGTAGAGTCGGGTTCCCTCAGGCTAATCCCGCTCTTCTGAATTATATTTTTTAATCTGAGATAGGAGAATAATTCCCGTGAGGGGATGTGGAATTCCCTGATCAGGTCTGGGAAGGACTTGATGCCTTCAGCGGACAGTAGGGAACGAACTTGGGTGATCCCCTTCTTAAGCCAGTTGTCTAGGTGTATGTTTGAGGTTCTTGTAGTCAGGGCTTGGAGTGGAGCAGCTAGGAGTAGGTCGTTATTTCGTAAGAAGAGCGGTGTAGTTTGCTTCCAGTTATGAAAGAGCGCGACTGTGGTGGGCAGCAGGGATGTGGCTTTGGGAAGTTTTGACCCGGCCCACAGGGAAAGTGGGATTGAGCCATTAGGTGTGCAGGCGTTCTCCAATGCCAGCCATATAGGGGGAGAGGGGCGTTCAAGGATCGTAAGGCCCTGGGCCAGCAGGGACGCCTTATAGTAAAGGGAAATATTGGGAACACCCAGACCTCCTTTTGTGAACGGGCGCCATAGTGAGTTTTGCGCTATCCTGGGGGGTTTTCTCTTCCATATATGAGCATTGATCATGGCCTGAAATTTCTTTAGGAGCGAGTTGGGGATTGTAATGGGAAGAGTGCGGAATAGGTATAAAATGTGCGGGAGGATCATCATTTTTACAGTGTGGATACGTCCTAACCAGGAGATCTCCTTCTCCTCCCAGGACTTAAGGAGTTGCTCTAATTTGTGAATGAGTGGCAGGTGGTTTTCGTGCGTTATTGCTGAGAGCCTCGTTGGCAATTTGATACCCAAATATGAAATGGAGGAGTTCCGCCATTCAAACGGGTATAGCGTTTTTAGAGGGTTTAGAGAGGTAGGTGGCAGTCCCAGTGCCAACGCTTGTGTTTTTTTGGCGTTGTTTTTATAGAACGAGACCTTACCATAAATTTCCAGCAAAGTTAGTAAGTTTGGTAGAGATTTTACTGGGCGTGATAAGAAAAGAAGGACATCGTCAGCGAATAGGGCTATTTTTTGAGTCCCGATGGGGGTAGATAGGCCTTCGATCGAGTTGTCCCTTTTGATATGTCTAACCAGTGGTTCCATGCAAATTATAAAGATTAACGGGGAGAGGGGACAGCCCTGTCTAGAGCCATTGGTTATTTGGAAAGACTGAGATAGGAACCCTGAATTGAATACTTTGGCTGCTGGATTGGAGTATAGGGCCATAATGCCTTTCAGGAAGTCTTGTGGTATGCCCACTGCAGTTAGGACAGCCCTCATGTAAGACCAATTAAGGCGGTCGAATGCTTTTTCCGCATCTAGAGCTAGTAAAATGCCATTTTGGTTGGTTTTTTGGGCCCATGAGATGAGGTTCAGGAAGTGCCGAGTGTTATCCCCCGGTTGTCTATGTGGGACAAATCCTGCCTGTTCTGGGGAGACCAGGTCCCTCAGGAGGGGTTGGAGGCGGTTGGCTAGTAATTTGGCAAAAAGTTTAATATCTGCGTTCAACAAGGAGATTGGTCTCAGGTTGGCGCATTCGGTGGGCGGTTTGCCGGGCTTAGGAAGTGTAACGATATGGGCTAGCAACATTTCTTTCGGTATTGTCCCTGAGTCCCTGAAGGAGTTGAAGAGGTTTGTGAGGTGTGGAGTTAGCTGTGTCTCAAATGTGGAGTAAAAGTGGTTGGAGAACCCGTCTGGGCCCGGAGCTTTATGTTTGGGCAGTTTGCGAATTGCGTTTCGTATTTCTTCCTCTGTGAAATTTGCTGACAAGGTTGCGCATTGCTGTGCCGATAGGTGCGGCAGCGCTGCTCCCGTCAAAAAGGTGGCTATTTCTGGGTCTAATGGTTGGTGTAAAGTACTGTCCTGTGCGAGGTTATATAGTCCCTTGTAAAAATTAGCTAGTTCGTCTACTATATCTTGTGGGTTAAACAACTTTGATCCAGTGGACGAGGTCATATATGGGAGTTTAGATTGTATGTATCGGGATTTTAGACGTTTTGCAAGTAGTTTGCCTGCCTTGTTCCCTTGCATGTAATAGGCGAGCTTTAATTTGCGGAGCTGTCGTTCCACATTTATCAGGGATATATTAAGTATTTTGTCCCTTAACTTTTCAATAGTACGGGATAGCTTTTTAGATGGTTTGAGTTTATTAATTTGTTCTAAGGATTTAAGTTGAGAAAGTAGATTATCTGACTCGGTGTGGGTTTTCTTTTTGTTTATTGCGCCTGCCTGAATTAGTAGGCCTCTTAGCACGGCTTTTAGGGCCAGCCATTTAGTGTCTATGCGTGTGCTGTCGGAAAGGTGATTCTCGAAAAATGATATTATGTTATCCCGAATTTTTGCAGCCGTAGTCTCATTGTCAAGGAGGGATTCGTTTAAACGCCAGGCACTGCGCCCCCGTGACGGGAACAAGGCCCTAAAAGTTGTGGTTACCGGCGCGTGGTCGGACCATGTCCGGTCACCTATTTGCACTTCTATTATATTGGATACCGTATTTTTATCTACCCAGCACATATCTATACGCGAGTATGTGTGATGGACCCGTGAGAAATATGTGTAGTTTCGTTCTTTCGGGTAAAGGGAACGCCATGAATCGTAAAGGTCGTGCCTGTGGAGTAGCGTGCTAAGGGTTGCGCTCATTGTGTTAGCAAGTTGGAGAGGTTGTTTGTTTGCTATTCGCTTAATGTCTAAATCGGGGTCTAGCGTGCAATTGAGATCGCCACAGATAATAGTGTGCCCCACACGGATAGTAGAAATTTTATTTAGTGCTCTTCTAATGAAGGAAATTTGGGAGTTGTTGGGTGCATAAATGGAAGCGATCGTAAGTTGCATTCCATTCAAAGATCCTACCACTACAAGGAGCCTGCCCAGCTCGTCTACATAGGTATTATCAAGATGAAAGACCCAATCAATATGGAACAGAATTGCCACTCCTTTTGTTTTGTTTGGGGCATGGGCATGAAATACCTGCTGATACCTGGATGAGCTCAGCTTGGGGGGGTTTCTTTTGCACATGTGTGTTTCCTGGAGGCAAACTATGGCAGCCTGGGAGGTATGAATGGTCTTAATCACAGAGCTCCTTTTAAATGGGCTATTTAGGCCGTTAACGTTCATAGAGAGACATTTAAATTGGTACGTCATCTTAAAGGGATATATAATAGAGCTTGTTAGTCACAGCATACTGTCTGCCAGCAACACTCATGGGACCTGTGGTTAGGTGGTGCGTAGTGTAGAATAAGGGAAGATCAGATGGCTGAATACGTCCTGCGCAGACATGGGACAACGTAGCTGCCAAGGGGATGGGAAGGGGATTAACAGGAAAGACAAAATCAACAAACAAAGGTATATACATTAACTCTCTAGGACGAGAGAAAATACTGGGATCCAGAGGGGAGCCTAAAGCTCCAAACACCTCGGATACCCTTGGGGGGTCGTGCGGAACAGGACCGCACCCGGACCAGATTCTCAGAGTAGGCAGGAATGGAGAGGAGAATATGCGCGAGAGGGGCTGAAACCTGGACAGCATTCTCGCCTGTGCCCCCTCTAAATCTCTGAAGTAATGTAGGGGAGAAGGGCAACGGATTTATGGTAACTTAACCGGGAGTACTGTGGCTAACTGGTGGAAGGGGTTTTTATTTTTATTTTTTTTTATTTTTTTTGTGATATATATTTCCCTCTGTTAGGCTGAGCATGGTCGATAGTGTATCTTAGGATGTAGTCATAATTCTCAGGAGGCGACCATTTGACCATGTGTGTGCTTAGCGTTCCATGGGGAGGGGGGGGCCTTGGGAGACCTAGCCTTGGGGCCTACTAGAGTACAGGAGGGATGAAGTGGTACACATGGGAGCCTAAATTCCTCCGTAGGGAGGAACGAACATTGTGACAGAGCAATTTTCCAGGGGGGGGTTACTCCCTTGCTAAACATTTCTCAGATAAAGCAGTGAAACATGCATGATCTCCCTCATGAGTATGAGCAATACTTAATGGATATTATATACATTTTTTTTTTTTTCTTTTCCCTTCAACTTTTGAACTATTCATGCCCTCCCACCCTACACCCTCATCAAACATTTTGCCACCGTGTATGTTCATACGATACCACTCGTAGCAACTGGGGTCTATGACCCTTATCGGTGTATAGACTTAGAGCCCTTGCGTAAGGCATAAGCCAGCTGGAGACAGTTCAGGGGTAGGTGGTTGACGACCGTGTCGGGCGAGGGCATCGACAGTCAGCATGGTGTCTTCTTGCGCGGCTGTAGAATACATCAAAGAGTAGAGGCAGGGAGATGCTGTCCTAGATGGGGTGGCTGTTAGCGTCGAACGCCAACCATCTGCCAGTCTGGCTGGGATCTCTTCAGGGTGGTCGAGGCGTCCGGTTGTTGGTGGGTGGTTTCTTGTTGGCCCCAAAGTCCCCAGTGTTTCAACGTGGATAGACCTTTCAGGGGGTCATCTATAATGTGGAGCTTATTCTGCCGCCAGATCAGTAGTCTCGTAGGAAATCCCCAGCGATAAGCCTGATTGTGGTTGCGTAGGGTTTTGGTAATGGAGGAGAATTCTCTGCGTCTTGCCATAGTGAGGGCCGATAGGTCCGCAAAGATAGAGACAGCGTTGTATGGGTCGGGCAATGTGGCTTGGGCTCTAGCGGCCTTAAGAAGAGCCTCCTTGGCTTTAAAGTGATGGTAGCGCACGATAATGTCGCGCGGGACGTCCGCGCCAAATCTGGGCGGTTTTGGAACCCGGTGGGCTCTGTCCAGCTCCCAGGTTACATCTGAGAGGTCAGGGACCAGCGTGGTACTTAGTGCGGTGATGTAGGCCGAGATCTGGTCTGTTGATATGGACTCTGCTACTCCCCGGAACCGCACGTTGTTCCTGCGAGAGCGGTCCTCCATGTCCGCCATTTTATGCCATAATTTGATATTATCTTCCTCTAGTTTCTGTATTCTATCTGCCATCAGATTGTGGGCAGAGGAGAGATCATCAGTTTTGCGTTCGACCTGATCGGTCCGGTCACCCAGCTCCTCTAGCTCTTGGTGGATGCCCGCCAAGGAGGTGGTGAAGTCCTCTTTAATAGTGGACCTGAGGTCCGCGAGCACTTGTCTCAGATATTCCTTTGAGAATTGTGAGTCGTCTGATAGCGAGTGCGTGGGCGACTAGGTGCAGGGGTCAGGGTCCGGAGACTGAGCTCTGCTGGCGGCGCCATCTTGGGCCTGCTTCAGTCTTTCCCTCTTATGTTGGCGGACCGCGTCCGTAAGTTTCGTCTGTTTTGAGGGAGACATTAGGAGCCGTGTAGCCTTGTCCCCCGCTGGTTCAGGGTAATCCGGCGAGATTTCCTCGTTAATAGTGTTTAATCTGGTCCGGGTGGTGCGGAGCTCCTACTCCATGCGACCGATCTTGCCGGAAGTTGGACACGCCCCCCTTTGGATAAACTTTTAAAATTATTTTTCCAATAAATTAAAATATCAAAATATTTATATCATATTTAAAAAAATATATATCAATATATCAAAATGTTACCAAATTAAAAAAGTTTTCATAATATTAATTAATTTTACAAGTTTATCTAAAACTACTAAATGATTTAGAAAGATTCTCCAGCAATATTAAATGGAGGCCTTGGTATCCACAGTATATATCAAAGTAAGGTCCATAGCTATTATTCAGGGATTAGATCAGCTGAAAGCTCTCACATAATGAACACTATTTAAACAGTTTCCAAAAGTGAAAAATAAGAATAACTGCAAAGTTAGCAATTTCACAAACTGTAAAAAAGAGGTAGACGTTTAAACACATTTAATTGAATTTATTTGTTCATTTTGAGGATAAATAAAGAGAAAAGAGAGATATTCAAGATCAGATATTTAGAAATAAAACATATCTCGAACGTTTAAAAAATACTGAATTGATTGACCCTCAAAAAATTGAAGACTGCAAAAAGGAAAGAAATAAGTTACAAAATACAGTTAAAGGGTCGCTCTAAGCACCATCACAACTTTTCAGGATTCCAAAGGTAATGGTAAATACGGTATCCTGAACCTACTCTCAGCTCTCATAAAGACTTAGAAGCTCTGCAATATTGTAATAGTCTCAGCTCCAGGTTACCTATATACATTGTGTCCAACTTAGACTGAGCTCTCTTTCATTCCAAAAAGAAAACCGTACATGCGCAAACAATGGCTCCGCCAATAGCTGCATGACTGCTACCTGTTTTTAGGGCAGTTCCACTCATCCAACTTGATGAATGAAACTGCTTTTTGGGGACAAACAAAAACACCCTTCTAGACAAGGGTTTGTAGGATTAAAAATACTCCAAAATGAGACGCTGAGTGGAACATCTTTAATAGGTATTTGAGAGGTTTAATTGCGACTGCATGCAGAAAAACTTTAAGATGTAGATTTCTTTTTTTTGTTTGTTTTTTTGCCTTTTTGCAAATGCATTCTCTAAATAATGTATTATATGCAGGGGGTCGGTTTTATTATTTTTAAATCAAATTCTATTGCTTTGTGATGATTTTTAAAGAGAATACAAAGAAAGGAATGCATACCAGTAGTGTCAGTGCACACATAATAAACACAACAATACAACAAAAATTGGAGTCACTGAATGACCTCCATTTGTCTAAATATACATAGGGATTAAGGAGAGGGCGCAGGTAACTTTTCTTTGGTTTTTAACTATATATTGGGGCTGATGTGTACTGTGGTCATTGCTGCCGCCCAGGAGTGATGGGAGTGAGCGCAGGACTTATCTTTTTGTATTTGAATACAACAAAAATTGTTGAGAGAATAAAGAAAAAAACAGAGTTACTTCTTAGACTCCGTTTCTTTCGGATAGTTCCTCTTTAAGTTGTTTATAAACATAGCTTCATTTTTTTAACACTGTATTAATGAAAGCGTTAACCAACAAATTAAACAGTAAGCTTCGACTTCCAAATGCTATTATTAACCCCGTAAGAGTATAAGACAATAGGACATGCATGCAACTATTGAAATCAGAACATTATTAAAGAATACAAAAATGTATTCTTAACACTATACTGTAGTGCTTGAGTAAATGTGTAGGTCCCAGGATGACCCTCATGTTGGAGCTAGAAGGTGAGTTTAATTACCTGTCTCCATTTCCATGCTAATCTCGCCGATGCTAGCCCCGCCTCTGTGGCTGAGATCTCAGCCAATCCAATGCCTTCCCATTGGAAAGTATTGGGAGGCTATTGTACATGTGCAGCAAAGCACCACCCTGCACAAATCAGCATCTCCTCATAGAGATACATTGAATTAATGCATCTCTATGGGGAACGGTCAGCTCCTCCGTGCAGTGCAGCACTTCCAGTGGCCGTCTGAGGGACTGAACCTATTGTTGTCTATAGGCAGCAATGTAAACACTGCATGTTCTGTGAAAAGCCTGAAGAGACAGACTATGCTCACCAGAACCACTACATTAAGCTGAGTGGTTCTGGTGACTCTTTAAAGCTAGATTAAGAAAAATCCTGATTTAAACTGGCCTAGAGAGACACTCCTCAGTCCGTCAGTGGATGTCACATTTTGCAGATAGTGAGCTGGAGAATGTTATATGATACATTAATGTGATATGAAGCACTCAAAATTAGCGATGTATCTAAACCATCAGCTGATACGATTGCAATTTTTTTTTTTTTCCAGTGTCACCGAAAATGTTAAATGGTATACGTCAAGTTTCTTGGATAATAGCTGTGTGTTTTCAATAATACATTCAGAACACTCCAATCTACGTGTTCTCTGGAAAACTGAGGGGGGTGCATTCAAAATATTGCTGCACAAATAGAACATTTTAAATCTCAAGTGGAGTTTATGTGATCCTGAAATGACAATGTTTTCAAAAATATTGCATTGTATAATATTTTTCATTTGTAAACAGCCTTTAAAAAAAATGATATGTGGAGAGCTAGGGTTACGGATTTGGAGGTTTAGAGTTAGTCTCTGGGGCTCAGGATTATGGTGTATCAAAGTCAATGGGGTGGCCAGGCTAGCAATGGGAGTAGCAGGGCCATTTCAACCAAGGTCATTTGTATAATGGGTTTTGGTCTGCAGCCTCACATAAATGAGAAGTAGAACGCAACACTGACGTCCTAGTTTATCATAAAGCTCTCCAGAGGATATGATACAATATAAGTTATTGTTCCCTATTTCGGAATAAATAACGTCTTTGAGATAACAATAAATTCATGTCATCATACCTACTAGGGGACAGTTTTTAAAGGAAGGGCAAGCCAAATAAGGAAATGCTAAAAAAATAATTATTCAAATCCCCAAATAATAGGAGGAAGCAATAACACTAACATATGGGAAAGAACCTGAATTATTAATTATGAATAATGCATAGTACGTCCTTGAGGTTTGGATTTTCTTGAAACACTAAAATCATTGTATGAATAGCATTAAAACCCCCCCCCCAAAAAAAAATAGATCAAACCGCTGCACTGTAAACCATTTTAATGCTGGTCGAGGGGCCCATATGTGGACCTTTCTACTCCCTAATCGGACTGCACCACTGAGTGTGGAAGGCTGCTGTTCTGAGATTCGGAGAGAAGATGGGGGGACAGTGGGTATGATCTATTTTGTACCTCACTTTCTTAACCTGCACCTATGGACACCTAGTAGGGAATTATTTTTAACACCAGAAAAATTAGCTAGAATGTATCTGGTTTGTTCAAGTTTATTTTGGGCGATATACAGTGACGGGTGTTATATATATTACATATTATATATCAGACTACTGGAACATCAGTATTTAATAAGACATCTGTCGAGTTATAGATCAAGCTAAAATGTAATTCTGTATTTTCATTAGACACAGTAAGCACGCAGCATCGTAAGAGAGGTTAAATAGCCCTGTGCTCAGTGCTTAATAGAGGAAATCTGGGAAATACACTGCAAATTATTGGTTTATGTAGATAAGGGGAAGCGAGCAAGAGGATTATAGTAAGGAAATAAAATAGAATGTACTGTTTCTTTACTGGTGTAGTACCTTTCCATGACTGTGTAATGTTAAAGGAACACTATAGTCACCTAAATTACTTTAGCTAAATAAAGCAGTTTTAGTGTATAGCTCATTCCCCTGCAATTTCACTGCTCAATTCACTGTCATTTAGGAGTTAAATCACTTTGTTTCTGTTTATGCAGCCCTAGCCACACCTCCCCTGGCTATGATTGACAGAGCCTGCATGAAAAAAAAACTGGTTTCACTTTCAAACAGATGTAATTTACCTTAAATAATTGTATCTCAATCTCTAAATTGAACTTTAATCACATACAGGAGGCTCTTGCAGGGTCTAGCAAGCTATTAACATAGCAGGGGATAAGAAAATCTTAATTAAACATAACTTGCAATAAAGAAAGCCTAAATAGGGCTCTCTTTACAGGAAGTGTTTATGGAAGGCTGTGCAAGTCACATGCAGGGAGGTGTGACTAGGGTTCATAAACAAAGGGATTTAACTCCTAAATGGCAGAGGATTGAGCAGTGAGGCTGCAGGGGCATGTTCTATACACCAAAACTGCTTCATTAAGCTAAAGTTGTTCAGGTGACTATAGTGTCCCTTTTAAATACCAGAGATTCTGGGCTTGTTAATGGGAATCTGGGCTTGTTAATTCTCTGCTCAGGATATTTCCAACATTGGGCACTGTTCTCCCAAGACAATCATGGATTCTGGATCTGCAGTCCCGTGTGTTACCCACATCTTTGCTCAATTCTGACACCAGACGCTGTACTACTATAGCTTTTCATCTCTCTGACATTTGCATCATTGGGCACCCCTTTGACACCAGCAAGGACTCAGCTTCAACATACTGGGCGACACCAGAGTGTCCCAAATCGTTTCCATATTTAAACTCCCTTTAGTTTTACTCTGTGCCATTTCGGGGTTCTTTCTTGACCTAATAGCACACTCCGCTGTACTTCGTGATTTCCTGGTTTTGACTCAGCTTGTCCTTGTGTTTGCATTCTTCTGGTGTCTTTGACCCAACCTGATAAACTGTATTTGGGATTCTCTTATTCCCTGAAACGTAGGCTTTGTTTCTGAGTATGATCCCTCTCCCGTCCACGAAGGTTCCATGCATTTAAGGAACACTACTGCATTAGAAATAGAAACCTGAATACCTAACGCTTTAGTGTCCCCTTGTCCCTGTGTATATTCAGGTGTCCTCCCACCAAGTGCAGTAAAAATTAAGAAAATAAACGATTTACCTACCCTTTTCCAGCACAGAGGCTGCCTTGGCACTGCGTACTTCTCTGCCTCCCCTGATGACATGGCCGCCTCTATAGCTGAAGCAAAGGTGACCTGATGTACATGCGCAGCCACGCACACATCCAAGCTTCCCCTTAGGAAGACATTGAATCAGTGCTTTTCTATGGGGGCGTTCACATCACGTGACGGAGTTTACTCTGTTTCACTCAGTTCCACAGAGTTTTACTCAAATCCACGGAAGCGCCTCTATAAGAGGTGGATCTAACCCTGCAATGTAAATATTGCCATTTCTATAAAACTGTAATGCTCTACATTGCAGGGTAACAAACACTACTACACCCAGACCACTTCACTGAGTAAACCTTTAAGCCAGACATTACAAGTGTCGCTATTACACCTCTATCATTTTCCTATCGTCTAGTTTTGATCCTCACCTGCTTGAAGGATTCCTGACTCACACACCTTGTCATCCCAAACATGTACATTTCCTCAAATATTAGTAATGAGGTGAGCTGTTGTCCAGCTGTGTCACAATTTGTAGTTGACAAATATGGCTGATGAACAACGGATATGATGACATTATTATTACAACAAACGGATAAATGAAGGAAGGAAATGCAACAATTTATGAAAGGATAGAATATGAATAGGAGGCTATTGTCTAGTTAGCAAAAATACTTACAGGGTTGTTCACTAAAGTAAGAATTCAAAGTGAATTTAAAATTTAAGGCCAAAGTAGTTGAACTGTAAGCATTGCTGAATTAGACAAATTTTCCGGTTCAACTATTATAACCTTAAATCTGGAAATGTACTTTGAATTGTCGTTTTAATAATTAAACTTGATACTTTATGCTCTATATAATGTCCAGACAGACTGACAGAGGATTCCGTTTACTTACGTTTATGTAAAGAAGGACAGCTGAGCATTAGTCCCTGCCATTAGATACCCTCAGCAAGTTCTTTAGATTATGTCAACGCCATTAATTACTGCAAAGTATGTTCTAATGCTGGATGATGATGGCCCAGCTTTATGCTAAGAATGAGCCTTTGAAGTGTGAGATCAAAAGAACGATCATAACACTCAGAATGCTGACGTATTTTATGTGACTGGAGTCTATCATTTAAATTTTTATTTAATTTAAAAATTCGTCATTTTCATAAATTCTCGCTGAAAGATCTCCACAGCTGGGCTTGTGGCTCCAGCACAAAGATGTCTCAGTGAGAAGCCACTGATTGGTCAATAGATCTGTGTCACATTTAAAGAGGAGGGCTTACAAAGGCTGCAGACAGCAGATCTGCAGCTATTGCAAGCTGATATTTTTAACCCCCTCGTGTTTTCTTTAGGGGTACATCTACTAAATAATAGGGAAGACTATTTTCCGATGCAGCGTTACGTTATATCCAGCACTTATGTTTCTATCTGACCAGCATGTTTCTCGTTGCAAGTACAATGGCTTGAGGCAGAGTGGCCTCCATTTTATTCCTTCATCTGTGCTGTGTGGATTTTAAGCAGGCGTTCAGATTGTCAGGCAGAAACAATTACTTCTGAATTAATTTCACAGACGCTGCTGACACAAATGGGGGGTGGGGTGGTTGATACTAACAACAGGAATGTAAGAAGCTAGCGTGAAAAAGACAGAATGTAAGGGAATACAGCATTTATAATTCAGGAGGAGTACTGAGAAGCCATGAAAAGACGACATTACGCATACCTTAATGGTTTGTTATTGACGACAGTAAGGGGTAAGGATAACGTAGAATCAGTGAGGGGCAATGGTTGGGAATCTGATATGAATGAGGCAGGTACTTGATATAACTGAGGCAGCTCTCCCCTTAATTCCTTGTCCCTTACTTCCTCCATCTGTACTTTTTCCCCACTGACTGTACTCCTTCCTTCCAAACAACCCCCCAACAGAATTTAGTGGCTGTTTAGTTTACCTGTTGTACAGAGCTGCGGAATATGTCGGTGCTATATAAATAATTGTAAGTATAACGGGATGGATCACTGGAAAAATGTGAGGGTGGAGGCATCCTGTATGAAAGGAAGAACAGGTGGTATTTTATAGAAAGGCCTGCTCTGCCATGCATGAGAACTAATAATAGGGTGAGATTTGGTGAGGTTGAGGAGGCAGCTGCCATTAACCATGTGTGGTTTGTCATGGATGAGAAGAAGTAAATGCCGTTTATAGCGTGGTAGATGGCATGGATGAGACGGTGCCAATAAGAGGGTATGAGTTGGTAGGGATTAGGGGGATAGCGGTCATTGATACAATAATATGATGTAGTAAAATACAGGTTACAATTAATTGCCATTGGCATTAATGGCTTTAACAAGAAGAGGGTTGGCATGCATGACGGGAGTGTCTGCCATTAAAAATATGGGACCTCGTATGAATAAAGTTGAGTAGCAGATATCGAAAGGATGTGAGTTGGCATGGTGAGTACCTACTAACAGAGTAGCTGCCAATAATAGAGTCACTGTCATTAATAGAGTAGCTGCCAATAATAGAGTCACTGTCATTAACAGAGTAGCCATCATTAATAGATTAGCTGTTATTAATTGAGTAGCTGCCAATAATAGAGTCGCTGTCAATAACAGAGTAGCTGCCAATAATAGATTAGCCGTCATTAATAGATTAGCTGTCATTAACAGAGTAGCCGTCATTAATAGATTAGCTGTCATTAATTGAGCAGCTGCCAATAATAGAGTCACTATCATTAATAGAATAGCTGCCAATAATAGATTAGCTGCCAATAATAGATTAGCTGTCATTAACAGAAAGGGCGCTGTGTAAATGATTCTTTTTGTAAAGTAAGCACACAGTAAGCATCTCTCTACTACGCTGATTATGGCAAAACTAGGATTTGTACATATTGCATTTCACAAGTGACGTCCAAGAAAGAATGCAGTTACTGATAAAATAACCTTTTGGAAAGATTTCTCCTTCCTATAATAATTAATCTGCCAACCAGCAAAGGAGGTAATCATTGGGCTTATTTACTGCAACGGGAGCAGGGTACAATGCTTTTTGCCTTAAATTGAATATACTTGGAATTCCGAACAATGCTAACTTTAGGAAAGAAATAGCCCTGTGAATATTTTGTGAACAACAAGCAGAGTCATTCAGTATAGATTGGACTGTCAGGAATTCTAACGTTGCACCACCTATTGCGCTGAAACAATACGAAATACACCCAGCCTCCCCTCCACGCCAGCAGGGTGAAACACACAACAACCAGATTATTCACTAAAGTGAAAATTTTGGGAGAATTCCGTAGCCAAATTTGAAGCATTTGGACTGAGGAAAAAAAAAATCCAGTTTGGCTATTCTGGCCTTAAATTTAAAAAATTCACTTTTAATTCCCAATAATTCTCACTTCAGTGAATAACTCTGTAAGTTATAGTATGTGAAATCAATATTACAGATTGTTACTTCGTCACAGTATCTGAACTCACTGGGGGCATGGGATAAGAGAGCTGGCTACTGACAGAAGAATCAGAATATACTCTTAATATAATCAGTTGTCTTTTCCAATACGCAACAATATATATTTAATTGTCAATATTAATACATATATAATATTTAAAAAAACTTAAGGGGGGAAATGGTTAAATTAAAGTCTACGCTTCTCCCTTTAATAATGAATAATTTAACATCCTCAAATTATATTTATTTTGTTGTAGATTTGCAAACACAGAGATTTTCTTTTAATTAAGTATATCTGTATATTTGCAAATCATGTGTGTATGAAGGTAGGTAGAAAGATTATTAATAATGTTATTTTAACCCCTTAAGGACACATGACATGTGTGACATGTCATGATTCCCTTTTCTTCCAGAAGTTTGGTCCTTAAGGGGTTAGAAGAGTCACTGTAGGATTATGCAATGCCTGGTGTATGATAAGGTGTGCAATAAAAAAAAACAACATAAAAACAGTTTTACAATTTCAGAAAATATACAGAATGGTTATTATAGCAGAACACAAACTGTTTCCAGAGCTACTAAGCTCCTACTGCCCAGCAACCTGATTAACCTAATTATATTAACCTGGGGTGGGGGCAGAGCCATCTGTTCCTCCAAACTGGACAGACTTCTGGTAGAGTAAGGTCATAATAAACAAACGCAATATTATAAAAACAATGTTATTTGTTAATAATACTAAAAGAGATAGCAATATTAAAACCAGTTTAAAAAAGAAATTCTACATCACTATGAGACAGACATGGATTGGTACCCACAAATAATGATGGGGGATGGCTCTTACCTTCATTGGAGTTGATAATCCCTCTTTTAGTAAGGAGCTGTCCAAAAGTAGAGCCTAAAAACAAATAGAAATATGGTATTACACGGAGTAAGTCCATGGCTGCTTGCTGGTGCTGTTAAAGTCTCTGACTGAATGAGAATGCTGAACTATCACTAAATATCATTGCAAGATGCATATTCATTTTAACAGAGTTACCGCCCTCTACTGGTCATCAGGACGGAGCATGTGTGTTCACTAGTTCATATGTAAATGTGAACCAGTTTAGTAGCTATTCTCTAAACTCTCAACAAGAAAGGGACACTGTAGGCACCCAGGCAAATTCCCATCACCCTTAACCCATAGTATGTACTTATTGTAGTTTTTATAAACTGTAATAATTACCTGCTAGGGGTAACTCCTCCTCTAGTGGCTGTCTACCAGAAAGCCACTAGAAGGACTTCCGGTCACCTAAAAGAGGCTGGATGTCCTCAAGCTATGCATAAGGATTTCCTGTGTCACCGGAATCCCCATAGGAAAGCATTAAATAATGCTTTCCTATAGGGAAATCTAAATGCGAGCATGCGCATGAGGGCTCCCCGGCTGACGGACGTCGGCAGGAGAGAAGCGTGCTTGTTTTCCTAGCACTATAGTTTCCGTTTAAGAAGATGCCTATGCGTGACAATAAAAGGAAACTCAAAATATAATGAGCCGCTATTCATATGAATTCAATCAAAAGTATTAGGGGATCAATTTGCAATACTAAGGTAGAACATAAGCCTACAAAGCCAGGCTAGTAGAAAAAAAAACCCATTTAATCTTAGACAGGCTACACTAGGTAGGAGATACCCTTGCCTGCAATGTGGAAGAACCTGGGACAGAAGGGACAATTTATCAACGTTGTTCCACTTATGTTGCACTTGTAACTGCAAGGAGTCCGGCAGTAGTCCCACAGCACTAAGAAAGTTAGGCGCATCTGCCGGATGCGAGGGAGTAGGGTTTCCCAATTCTCTCCACCCATAATTGGTGCGGTCCCCACTTATAAGAAATCTCCTTGTCCCTTGGCAATTTGGTAATTGGAGGACAGTCTGCCTGGAGACTATCTATAGAAGGTATCATCCCGTAAGTGCATCCCTATCTGAGTCCTTCAGATATTTAAGCAGAATATCCCTGGAGGCCTCCCTAAGAGCTTTTGCGGGTTCGGGAGCGTTTTTTCCTGTTTAGAAGGTACAAGCGTAGGGAAAAGGTGACGAAGGTAGTGTAGCAACTCTTCACTAGGAACAATTTAAGCGCTCCCCTGATACGGACATTCCGAGTCCTGGCCCTATCTTCAAGTAGCACCATCTAGGTTGGTAAGTCGCCATAATTCTTCTGTAATGAATGCATAGCAGAATTCATAGCAGTCTGTCCCACTCTAGAAATCCCCTTCAACCGCTGCAATGCGACCTGTTATGGTGGCCACCTCTTCCCTGACTACCACTATGTCCAATTGAAACATATGTCTTTCAATAAACATAGAAACATAGAAACATAGAAACATAGAAACATAGAATGTGACGGCAGATAAGAACCAGGATAGCCTTATGCCTATCCCACGCATGCTTAAACTCCTTTACTATGTTAACCTCTACCACTTCAGCTGGAAGGCTATTCCATGCATCCACTACCCTCTCAGTAAAGTAATACTTGCTGATATTATTTTTAAACCTTTGTCCCTCTAATTTAAGACTATGTCCTCTTGTTGTGGTAGTTTTTCTTCTTTTAAATATAGTCTCTTCCTTTACTGTGTTGATTCCCTTTATATATTTAAATGTTTCTATCATATCCCCCCTGTCTCGTCTTTCCTCCAAGCTATACATGTTAAGATCCTTTAACCTTTCCTGGTAAGTTTTATCCCGCAATCCATGAACCAGTTTAGTAGCCCTTCTCTGAACCCTCTCTAAGGTATCAATATCCTTCTGAAGATACGGTCTCCAGTACTGTGTACAATACTCCAAGTGAGGTCTCACCAGTGTTCTGTACAATGGCATGAGCACTTCCCTCTTTCTACTGCTAATACCTCTCCCTATACAACCAATCATTCTGCTAGCATTTCCTGCTGCAGTATTACATTGTCTGCTCTATTACACTGTCTGCCTAGTATAAAGCTTTACTACCTGCTTTTGTTAAGGGGGGCATTATCCTCCTTGATCAGGGGGCTGTTTGCACTAACCTATACCAGTGGATGAGCTGTTAGGTCATCTTCTTGACTGTCATCCTCAGAAGGCTGGACAATAGGCTACGTCTGGCTCCATCTCAGCTAGAGCAGGCATCTGAGTTTGCTGAAGTAGCGCTCCTATATCATGCGAGCTATAGTCCAGATCCAGTCTGTACTTTTTTTTATTTTCTCCCTGTCATTAGACATGTGCAATTCATTTCATTTCGAATGCAAATTCGGACGAATTTCAGAAATTTGGACATTCGGATGCTTCCAAATGTCCGAAGTGCCAAAGTGCCAAATTGTAAAATTTCCAAAGTGACTAATTTCCGAATTGCTGAAGTGCCGAATATCTGAATTTTCGAAGTGGCAAATTTCAGAATGCTGAACTGAACCGAATTGCCGAATTCAGGGTAGGGTTAAGGGTTGGGGTAGGGTTAGTGGTTGGGGTAGGGTTAGGGGTAGGTTTAGGGTAGGGTTAGAGTTAGGGGTAAGTTTAAGGGTAGGGTTAGGGTTAGAGTAGGGTTAGGGTTAGAGTAGGGTTATGGTTAGGGGTAGGAAGTTCCAAAGTGACGTAGTTCTGAAGTGCCGAAGTCCCGAATTTCGGAATGCCGAACCAAATATTTTTCCCATGCTCATCCCTACCTGACATATGCAGCTGACATGGTGTGGCAAAAAACAACCTCACCACTGGGCATTGGAGAAGCCTGTTTGCCCGCCTCCTGCCTGCTGACTATGGCCCTTGGGAGATTTGGCCCTTTAAATACAGTATTTGGGCATATTGTATTTTATTATGCTGCTGCTGGCCCTTTAAGAACCATCTGGGGACATACTGTGACTTTTAGGAACAATGCCCCTTTAAGACTGTGTCCCCTGTCCCCCTAATATACTTTGTTTGGTTACTGAACCAAGTACCACACAGGCGGACCACCCAGAATTGGAAGCGTACAGGCAATTTACCTCCCAGGCTGGGAGCCTGCTGTAGGTAAATTGCCGACCACTGGGGGGCCGCCGTTTGCACAAACGAACACGTGGTGGCGCCATCTTTTTTCATTCAAATGCGGTCAGCGGTGTGTGGAGCCAAATTCATGGAACTGAAATTGGCTACACAGTTCCACGAACACCGCTGACCCTTACCTTCTCCTACACTGAATTTTCAGCTGCAGAGACTAAGTCCTGTTTGGCGTTTCGAACACACGTTCGAATGGGACTTAGTAATTTTTTCAGTGTGAAATTGACCGACCGCACAGCCCAAATCTATGGAACTGTTTTGGGCATGAAAATGTGCTTGCGGTCGGTCATAAAGGACTTCCAGCTAACTTTTTAACCCCTGGATGGAATTGGCTGAATTTTGACTATGTTTATAATTAAAGTGTACTGAATAATAATATGTAATGAAGATTGAATGCATATTTTTAAAGTTACAGTAAAAACTGTATTTCTCTGCCTGTGATAATTACATTAACCCATTGTGTTCAGTAATTATATCACAGGCAGAGGGGAGGGTGTTGTGTGGGAGTGTCTGTGGGTATTGTACGTATTGATTGGTTGTTCTGCAAAACCCTGTGGGCAGTACTATGTTTGTAAAATATGCATAAAAGTAGAGTGTTTGATTAAAAGCTTCAGTTCTACTTCACCCTCAATTTGGAGTGCCGTCTCTTATTGGGGGAATCTGCTACAAGGGATTGCTATGCTTGTCATACTCACTTGCTAAATCACTACTAAGCTCTTGTAAGAGCTTGTTCCTGCCTTGGTCTCTGGATGAGTCTACGGTGGTTATGGTGTCGGCTAGAGTGCTTGGAGCCCTCAGGAAGCGCTAGGAGCATCCATTAACGGAGGTACCCAGTCGGAGTGCCAGGTGATCCGTTACACATGGGTATCAAAACAATGTTAGCTAAAAGAAGACATTTGGGTGTATATATCCTGCAGTCTCACTGCTTAATTCTCTGCCATTTAGAGGAATTGCCATTCTCTGTAATTGTTTCTGTTTACAAAGCCAAAGCCACACCCTGTGGTGCATTTTCGTTTGGGGTGCTGCCCTAGATAGGACAAAACTCGGGCACACCCCTGCCCCCTCAGTGTCAGACACACATTCAGTAACAGACACACATACACAGCTGACAGACACACACTGATAGACATACACATTCACTGACAGACACGCACTCTCAGTAACAGACACGCATATACACACTGACAGACACCCACTCTCAGTGACAGACACACTCACACTGACAGACACACATTGGATTCTCTATTTCCATGGGTTCCAGTGGGGATCCTTTAACTGCTGGGCGGGCGGGTGGTTAATGCAGGTGGCGAGGGAGCTCTAATCTCCTTGCTCAGCTCCATTACACGCTGCTCGGACCGGAATTACATCATATTACAACTCCAGAATCACTGTGGGGCGCTAGGAAGCTGAGCAGGAAGAGCTCAGAGGAGCTCCCTCCCTCATGAGCAGATGCCAGGCTCGGAGGGGGGGGCGGGGCCTCAAGGTGGCCAGCAAGCCGGCCAGCTCTTAGGGCCCCCCAGGACAAGAGGCTGATAAGGTTTCTAGCCTGGCGGAGGTCATTCAGACCATCTACCTTGCTCCTACAGAAGCAAAATATTTATTACCACTGGAGCCTGTCCCACACACTCATCGTCCTCCATGGTGACACTCCGGAGGGCCGTCTTTCCGCATGGGCAAGCTAGGCACTTGCCCGGGGGTACCACAAGCATAGGGAGCCCACAGCGTTGCTCATGTACCAGGCCAACAGGGGAGATCCTTTGATCTCCCGTGCCAGCCCACGGAGAGCCGGCCCTGTTCACTTGCTTTGGGCCTTCTCGGGCCAGTGATGAGAACAAAGATCTCCTTCACTGGCAAAAGGCCCTTAGTTAGTGACAGGGAGGGAGGGAGGAAAGAGCTGGGATGAAGTTCCTCTGTGAGTATGCTAATCACAGTGTTGCAGTGCTTTGCTATGGCAATGCTCCGACACAGCGCTCACTTCGTGGGAGAAGTATTAGTCAGCCTGCAGCCACAGGAGCTGCAGGCTAAAGAGCACTACTCACCACTGGACCAC